CATAGGCCATAAAAATGAGAAAGGGATACTGTTGGCTGAATGAGTGCTTTATTTTCCTCCAGCATTTTTTTTGTAAATGTCACTTTTAGTAAAGCATGTTGGTAAATGGATGCCACCATTGTCTGGTTGGTGGTCCCCTACACAGCTAACAAAAAACTGCAACCAGGCAATGCAATCTGCAGTCTTGCACCATCTTTAAATTTTCCCCAAATTCGTCTAAAGGTTTCCTTATTTAAATTGTGTGCAAGAAGCCATGCTTCCCTACACACAATCTTTCCTTTTACATAAAATTCAGTTTGTAGTTCATTGGAATCATCAGAGCTACTGTGTTGATGCAGGTACTCTAAAAAATAGTTTCGCTTTCCTGCCTTTTTCTTTGCTTCAGCATATCTTATGTCTTCTACAGACAGTTGCTTCATGCACTTTTTTGCGCAACAGTTAATGGAAATGATCCACAAAATTTCCTCGTCTCGTCTAGCAGATAAATCTAAATTTGAGAAAAAATTATGGGACCATATTAAATGGAAATTAAAACTTGTTCAAGTCTTCGTTGAAAGTATAATCACTTAAGACAAAGGTAACCTTGAATTTTGATCAATAACATTGATTAACTTGCCCTTTGCGCAGTAAACGAACAAAAGCGTAATAAAACAAGCCAATTTATTGTATTACATTGTATTATTACATATGTTTGATAATCTAAATTACGACAAAGATAGACCCAACCGATATCCCTCGTATTCTACGGTGAGAGAAATGCAGCATGTCAAGGCTTTAGAGCTGTTAATAATGTATTATTGTTCTGTTTTTTTTTTTTTGGTAATCATAATCTATTTTGCCTAAACCAAGTATCGAATGGTGATGATGTTCCCTCATTATTAAAGTCAAGGTATGGGAATGATTTCATCTCAACAATATCTGGTCTGTATTTCCTTGTCTGATCCTCTACTTTTACGAAAGGATTGCGAAGTGCATGAACAAGGCCCTTTGTATTGATCCTAATTTGTGCACCCAGCCGGATTGGTTTATATTGGTATTCTTCCATGCAAGACACTAGATCAGTATATTTTAAGATTTTTATGTTCCAAGTAGACGCAATTTTAAAAACGGAAGACGATCCTCTTATTGCTGGTACTTTAGTAGTTGCAATTCCAAGCATCAGAGAGCTTCGTTTTTCATTGGAGATTTTTAGCTTATTGCGAAATGACTTTTTCCCAGTTTCCTCTCGATCAGTTATGATAAAATCCATGTGTTTGTTAAGAAATGACTTCACAGTGGCTGCTGCTATGTTCGTAAGCCACTGAATGATGTACGACTTATTTTCTGATTTTGATAGGTGAAGGAAAACATTTTTCCCTGTGACACTTGAAATGAGCCAATGATGATCTGAAAGTACAATGAATGTGACGAAAAGTTAAAGCTTCTAGGGCCAAATTTGCTTTTGCACGCTTGAGCAACTTGTAGAGGCCGTTGACTGCCTGCTTATCTGTTTCACTTTAATGTAATTGTGTGTTCGATGTTACTTTTTACGCTGTGTCTTAATGTCCGGCAGTCGGAAATTTTCATACAATTGCTACTGAAAGGTCCTTTCAAACTTCGTTAGAATACCAGATGTTTGTTCAGAAATGTCAAGCGACTCCAAAATTATTTTGATTCTCAAGGGAACGAATTTTCCGAGCTTGTACATACCTTAAAATCACTAGATTATCGACACTTTGCAGAACTCTGACCTTAAGATTTCATGGTATACAGAAACTTGGAAAATAAATCTACTAGAAGACCAAAATGACTGTCTTTGGAATTTCTTACCATTGATGTCAGCGGAAAAAAAAAATTGGCTTCTTATTTACCTGGAGGTGCACAATCTGGTTCACATTTTTCTGTTTCTAGAACTTTCAAAGAGGAATCCGCATCGTGGAGAGAATCGCAGGAAAAATCTGTGTCAGATAAGAAAACCGACATTAGATTTACGAAGTTGTAGCAAAAAACAGAATAAAGGGCTACAGAAGTCCAACTCGTCGGTATGCTTTAAAGAATGAGGCAGAACACAAAAGGATGTGTTGTGATTCATCGAGAGGTAAATGAGTGGCCTTGTATTCTGTAGTTTTGCTGTATTTTCTCGATTAGTGGACCCTTATGCACGGGTTAAAGTCAACTTGAAAGTATGTAGTGTGGCTTTGTGATGCGGTCGGTTGTCTGTACAGTTAGAAAAAATTGTGATTTCAGTGATTCGATTACGCGGTGATCTGTGTTGTGGCCGGATAATTTTTTCAAAGGTGTTGCTTTTCTCAGAGATCAAAAACGCCCCTCTTTCGAGCTCCACTATAACATTTGAAAATCAAAATTTCCTCACCCTGTGGCGTTTCGTCGTGCCCCAATGAAGTATCGGCATCGTGAAGAGAAATACTCGTAGCATCTGTGATAAGACAATAAGTCGGCGTCGTATGGTCAACGTTGACACTCATGCATATAATTTTTTCCGAATTTGAGGTTATTTTACAATTAACAGTTAAACTGGATCTAGGTTTACGTTTTTCTTGAAATAAATGGATTTACCGTTGAAAGTATATCACACAGACTTTGGTTATATAGCCTGCGAACCAGTATTTTCTTCTCCGCGCAAGAGAAGCAGGAGAAACAGTAAGACTCACAATACGCGCGTTCAGCTAGATTCTGCGACACCAATCCGTGATCAGTTAGGGGCTTTAAATTACATTGCGAATTTATGATCTGTCCTCAAACCAATCTTAAATTAAAATTAAATTTGTGGTGTTAATGAAAAATTCTTGAGACTGGATTGACTGCGTATTTAGTATTTACATCTTCTTGAACTCAAAAGAGCCAAGTTCATTACCTGTAGTTTTGGAGGCACTGACATCTAAATCAAGCCACGCTGTTTCACTTTCTTGTAAAGTTTCCATTTCTAATTGACTCTCGTTAACCGGGATTATTTCCTCATGAACAAGGGGGCTTGCACTCAAAAGTTCGCTTGAATTATCCAAGTCAACCCACTCAGGTTCATTGGGAAGTCTTCTCTTTTGTGGTGATCCCAAACTACTTAAATCGGTGTCTGAATCATACAAATCAATGAGGCTTGCAGAACTAGACGATCTTTTTCTGGTGTACTCGCTAAAAGCGGTTGGAACATTTTTGTGCTAGGTGTACCAGATAACTCCACGCAGGGTCCGACAAGAGCACTAGAGGTATACCTTTGATATGGACGAAACAGACAAAAGCCCAATTCTACGATTACATTAGATCTTGATTAGGCGGATGTATGCGGTTTTTAAAATAATGGGTAGATATTACTTTTGTCTTGCCTCGGTTGAATTACACAGAGGACAGCTTGCGAATTATAGTGGAGATAAAGCCAGATCATGCTCTCAGAAATGGTAAAAAAACATTATCGGCTCCTATATTTTCCTGTGTTGAGCGCATTTGCATGGGACATTAAATACTTTTACCGCGGGAGGCTGCATTAACTGAGAGTATTCGAAACTAACCGAGCCTGGTGCTTACCGTGGTAAAGATTTCCTCTGGTAAATATCCGTGGATATTTCAGAGAGATCAAAAGGCAGCGAGGCGGTTTTTCTTGCTTTGTTTTGCACCGTAGAACAATAGCCAAACTGTTTAAAATCAATACTAACACGCTAATGGCTTTCGTTCGCAAGTTTCGTTCACCCGATTTCTCGCCTCTAAATTTTGCTTTTAAAACCAGAAAAGGCATGGCGCTGTCTAGCACGGTATACGTATACTTCACCAGTAGACCTAAATTTGATTCACTGCGGGATGATCTACTGAAAATGTCATTTACTATTGTGTGTTTAGCCGCACCGATAATTGTCAGATGAAGAAAGGAAATGAAACACTTTTTCTTTCTTGAGAATAAAGGTAAAGAAAGGCCGGCACGGACTCCCCATGAGGCTTTCTTGGTCGCGTCGTATTATCGCCTTCAAATTATACTTTTGCTTTCACAAGCATATATTTTGAGGGATTTTCCCTATTTGTAAGAGATGATCAGAGGTTTTGTAAAAATTGTTTTCAGCAAGGGCTGATTGTGTATCAGACTCAATGTTTCATCAATATTATGATTTAATTTTTGACCGTCTGGTGGCACGTTGTGACAAAAGGCAACAATCGTTCGTGACCTTTTGGCTTTTGTGTACGTGAAAGGGCCGATTGTTGACCCCGACAGAGTCCTTCCTATGATGTTTTCTGGGTACCCTCATGCTTTGAAACGTTGTTTGAATTTCAAAAGGACCTCTTCAAATGTTTTTTTTTCGAAGAGTTAGTCCGAAGCAATCTTATTCCTTCGCCTTAGTGAGAACATATTTTTCGCCTAATGGGTGGCACGAATTGGGAGGTCTCGAACGGCTTGTCATGGGTTTTGATGTCAAAGAAGGAATCTTCAGCGAATTTTTCCCCTTTAAACACTGTGGTATCCACTTTTTATAGTGGATAAATTTCAAATCGCTACTTCAAATCTCTGACTGGCATACCGTGCACATAAGTTGATCAAGTATTAACCGAACATGGAGCCATTTTCAAAACGCCCGCGGTTTTTGTTTGATTCAGACCTAGTTATGTATATATGCCCGATGATACCGCCAGAGATCGTTGGACTGTTGGCGAAAACAAAATTAACTGTTCCCACGATTGGAAGGAAACGACGATTTAATACCAAAATTTAAAAGGCATAGCGTGGACAAGGCCTCACAGTTATAACACAAAAACAACAGGAAGTGTCAAGGCAGCTTTTAAGTTGCGTCGACTGGTTCTCACAGGAAAATGTCACCTTTTTAATTTATTCTGAAGGTGTAAAAAGCTTTGACGGAAATGTAGTTCATCGCGACTCTTTTCATCACTGCTATTATTGTTCCCTCAGTAGTATAAAAAAAAGGCAATGATGATTCGCGATAAGAGGTCTTCAGGTCTTCAGGTCTTCAGGAGTGTATCCCAGAACTGATCAGCCTTGGTCGTAAACTAACCTTCTACTTAAGATGCCTCCAAAAGATAAGCGCAGTAATGAAGCGAAACTGTGGTACATTAAAGTGAATTCGGGAGCCGCGTATTTATACAGAGGAGGAAAAAGAGTGGAAAATTTCTTAAACATAATCGGAGCCGAATCATACCAAGACTCATCAGGTTCTGTTGCTGAAGAATCTGGAGCATCACCTCCCAAGAAGAAACTCAAGGTGATTTAAAGTATACAGTATACATTTATTGCTGACATTGGACTCTAAATTCCCATTCAATCCAGGTTATGGCTAAATTACTGATGTATCAATTCACTGTAAGCCTAAAATCTATCATCAATTCTTCTTTCAGCTCGAATTCACTCCAATAAATTCACGGGGCGCGTATCGGTTTGGATCTGTGAACCCACGGTATTTTAATAGGTTTGCAAGTGACGACTCATTTAAGAAAATTGTGACCAAAACGGCCGACGAACTCGCTAACGGGATCAAAAAGAGTTTGGAGGAACTTGAAGTGGATCATGACCCTTCCCATGCAGAACAACGGCCGCATACAAACGTTGAGCTTTCTCAGTCTTTAACTCCTCTCTTCTGTGACGTTACTTCACAATCAAGCAAGCGATCGGGACACAATAGGGAGGAAGGAAGTTATAGGAAAAGTATACAGAAGAGGTGCAACGAATGTCAACTAGATAGTGAGTAAGATTTAATAATAACAGGCATGTTATCAAATGTTACCTTCTTTGGATCGAGAAAGAATAATAAGTGAAGCATTTGTATCAAGAATTTCTGGCTACCTGATAGACTGTAAACCATGCAATCCTGATTTTCATTGTAAGCTCAATAGAGTTAACTGATGAATGTGGTCAAAATAGGATGCATATAGCTTTTTTATGTGAGACTTACATGCGGTTGAAAAATCTGCAACCGCTTACCATTCACAAAAAGGCCTGTAAAATCAATATCATACCAGAGTAATACCATGCACATCATCAGATTAAAATAGGGTAAAGTCTTAAATTTTTCGCTCGAAGGTTTACATAGACAGGTATTTGTTCTTTGAGTTATTTTTCCTTTTTTTTTTTTTTTTTTTTTTTAAGTGTTGATGTTGCCATTTTTGTTGGATTATTGCTATCATTATCTTTATTAATATTATTATCATCATTATTTATTATTACTCTTATTATTGTTATCTTTGATACAACCACTATCATTATTATTATTATTATTATTATTATTATTATTATTATTATTATCATTAGTGGAAGTGGTAGCATCGTTGTAACATAATGACCAATAGTATTCTCATTGTCGTTCTTTTTTTTATTTCCAGATAAGGCACATTTAATTTCCATCGACAATTTAATCCTCCCTCCAAAGAAAAGACAGATAAGAGAAGTAGACACCGCCTTCCTTGAGCAGTTGATTAAAAACATGAGTGAGCAACCCTCTGGGAATTATGAAGCGCTGTTTGTCTTGGCAAAAGGAATTACCAAGAAAGACCAGTTTGAGTTGGAAAAGATAAATGAATATAAATATGAAGTTCTCGGTGGAACTCATGTTGTCTTGGCTACGAAACATCTTCGTGAGAAATTTCCTCACGACGCCAACTACAGCGGAAGGGTGGCCAGGATATATGTTGGGCTCAATGATGAAGAAGCCTTGTGGTTAGGAGCCATGCACAATCAAACTGGGGCATTTCGTCACGAGCTCACGTACAGGAATGAGGTAAGGTCAAAATTTGTCTATTGTGAAATGTGCCAAATGTTGAAAACAATTCTTAGTTTGTTTTTTGAATTTTTAGATTTTTTTTTTCAAATTACTATAATTATTATCAATCATTATAAATATATAATTTGAATTTCTCGCTCTGACGAAGGGCTAACGCTTGATACATCAGCTTGGAACTCTTTACGCTGACCAATTTACGTTATCAACTCAGTTGATAATACCAATAGCCTTGTCATACTCTCCTTTCGACGCATCACCGTAGTTTCTTAAGAAATTAACCCCTTTAATTATAAGTTTAGTCTGTTCTGTTTATATCTTTGCTTTCAAAATTTTGTATGTGAATTCATGAGTACATTTAAAAAATCATTCCAGTTTCTTTGCCAGCTGTTTGGCAATCAGATGCTGCTTTTTTCCATGTTAATTTTCAGTTGAATTGAGAACTTTATGTAGTTTGGATTATTAACAAATGTGTCACTAAAAATGTTTTCCATTCCAATATTCAAGGTTGAGATTTGTCGCACCCAATTATTCCTGCCAGCGGAAGACTATTCAGGTGATCCACCAACCCCTCCTGAAGCGTGGAGAGAGAAGTGTTCGAGTCTCCTTAAAAAATCGGTAAGATTGTGAAAATGTATACTTGTTACTTTCACAAGTAATCCACCGACTTGCAGGTGTTATTACTTGACACTTAAATTTCCTCTCAGTGAATGCACAGCAGGCAGCAAACTCTTAATAAAAGCATACGAGCGTGTTTCCTTGTATATGATCAGTAGCACAGTTCTGATGTACAAAAGCGTAACATTGGGTAAAATTGAAAAATTTATTTAAGAACCAATTCTTATTAGAATTAAGTCAGAAAGTGAAGGAAATTGGTTCCTATCTTGAAATTATGTCATTTCGGTCGATTCGGACGCATTTCAAGCAAATTTTCTATTACCCATGATGCAATGCGGCCACGCCCTTTTTTTTTTTTTTTTAATTTAATTTTTTTTTAATGCATAAATACCGTGTTTCAAGGAAAATGTTTTTTTTCTCGCCACATCTTAATCCTAGAAACTCTAGAATCCTTAATCTTTGCATTTAATTTCACGGCCTTGTGCTTGCGAACAAAAACAGCACTTGACTGCATGCTTGAAACATGCGGTATGTACTTAGGAAGTTTCCCGCTCATTTCCTCACCTGATGTAATATTTTACTTCTTAGTAAGGAAATATAAAACAGTCCTTATTGATTAAGTAGACTTTGGGATGATTTGGAAGTAAAGAAAGCCGTCAAAATGACAAGAGCGTCACGCTTGTTTTTGCTATAAATTCGATCGCGTATCTTCGTGAGGATCAAAATTGTAGACCTAATGTTTCGGATGAACTTAAATGCTAATATTTTCGTCGGCTTTTAACGGATTCGATCGAGTATGGTACCAAAATTTAGCTTGTCATTTGAGCATTTTGTTTATGCTCCAGTGCACTTGTCGCAAACAATACGATTAGGAAATTCATTGACTGGTACTATCGCGCGGCAGATCACAGCGCTTGCCAACTGTTTCGGACGCAGAAAAAAATTCATATCTCGACAACGTTTCAACAAAAACACAAAAAAACGAAAAGAAATTGAAAATAAACTTATGAGCATTGCATTTTGAGGTTAAATTGTTCTGTAACTCAGGAATTATGACTCGCAAAATGAATTTAAAATTATCTGTCTCTCCTAAGCTTTAAAGCGTGACGCATCAAGTGGTGAACACTTTCGTTGATTTTAAGAAATATTTAGCTCAAATTTTCAGGATTTTGGTTGCCACTTTGCTTAAAAAGGAACTATTTTCATTATATGTTAAGTCTTACGGTTATATACGAGGCTTCAGTGTGTAAAAACAGGAAAACAGTGAATAGTGAAGCCGACGCATGTTACGCGTGACGCCATGTTTTTGTCGCTAACTTTATAATTCGGCTCCAATTCAATATTTTCAGAGATCCTTTATTCTGTTTAGTCCGAAACCATTTTTAACACATGTGTAACAATTGTGGGAAGTCTCAAGCAGATCTGATCATTGTGCGCCGAGAAATTCTTAAAAGATTCAAGCAAATCCGTGATTTTTCAATTTGTACGTGACAAGCGTGCTACTGATCATATACAACTCAAACCCATCAAGCTAGTTCACCATGAGGGAAATCTACATGTACTTTTGAGATGCATCAAAGAATGTTGAGCGTGATGGTTAAGGAAAAGTGTTGTGTTAAGTCGCCAAGACAATTTCTCTAATGATTGTAGATATATGAAAATCATATACGTGCACTGCGGTGAAGAAACGAATATAACAGATCCTCGCAGCTATGAACACTGCTGAACTAGTAGTTGAAATAAGGCTTGCCCGTACGGGATTTGAACCCATGACCTCTGCGAGATATTGCTATGACTGTTGATGCAAACTAATCTGACATTAATGTGTGTTGCCTTGTAGAAAAGAAATCTAAGTGAGATCTTTACCATGGCACAGCTGTCAGGAGAGGGCTGGACTCACTTTAGGAATTTAAACGATTTGCATGAAAATGCCCAATTAAAAGGACAGAAAGCTAAAGCCTCGGACATAGTTAAGAAGGGGAAACCTGTGCTCAGGCAGTGGCAGTTAAAACCCCTCTGCAAGTTGTCCGTAAAAGACCAAACGTTTCTTCTAAAAAAGGTGAGATATGTGCGACATTGTCCTTTAAATCATTGTCAAGTGTATCCTGTCTTCAAATTTGTATGAGATGATTTATTAATTCAATTGTTCAATTTTCTTATCGTCATGATCATCACGATCATCATCAGGACTGTATCTGCCTGGATTTTTCTTTTCTCTTTTGAGCCCTGTGGTTGAGGAGAGGTTTCATACTTTCAGAAAAATAGTGAACATTTGAAAGCTGATTATCTCCGCTTGTTTTTATTCATCGTTTTTAGGTGGCAACTTGCGAGTTAAGCTTGGAAGAAATGAAATTTGCTGCCTCCGAAGTAAAATCTCTAAGACCTGTCCAGGAGGCCATTGTTAAATTCTTCAAGGTCAGCACGTGGGAAGAGGCTATTGAAGAATTTAAAAGCGCCGTATCATCTGAAAAGTTGTTGCAGTTTGCTGTAAGTTGACATGTAATAGTACGTACCTCAGTGACTCAGTGACTTATTTGACTGACAATTTTTCTGTTTGCTCTGTAATTAAATTATGTCATATTGCCCTTCTGTGGCAATTTCTCTTTTGAAGTTAAATATTTCAACTTCCCCATAAAATTTCCTTCATTTCTAGATGTTATGAATTCCATCGCCTGAGGAAAAAAACCTTCGTTTCGATAATTCAGTTTTAGAATCCATGCATGGAGCAAATCCTGGTTGATATACTGAGTTATTCGTTCACTATCTGTAGGGAAAAGACTTTGAACAGACTCACGAATTCCAAAAATACTTGCAACGTTTAAAAAGAATACGAACAGGAGAGGTCATTGAGACGGCCGACCTCATAGAGGGAAAAATGGGAGCATTTGGGCTCGTAGTATTTAGCAACAGCCTGTTAGACGTACAACAAAGCGATCTGGCAAAGTTGCCACATTACGAGGGAGCATTTTTAACCATAGGTGAAGCAGGGGAGCAGTGCGAGGTAAGATAAAAATCTAGGTGAGACTCTCCCGCTACCGTTTTTTTTTTCGCCTTTAACGAATACATGCAGGATTTTACTACAATCCTAATCAATACCTGTTTTTTGTGGATAACTTTTAGTTGTTTGCATTTACTTATTACGACTCATATTTTTCTCTTCACAGAATGCTGATGATGTAATTAGTACTGTTTCCCGCATTAATTTCTGTAAGCTCACATCCTTTAACATTGTTTTATTTACAATGGTTGAAGGTGTAAAAATCTAAAAAAAAAAAAAATGCTAAAAGAGGGTGCTACTCTGGCACAGCATGGCTACTTTTACGTCCAAAATAAACCTCCAACTACAGCACAAGGTAAGATACTTCTAGAATTAAACAACTGTCCTCAGAAGAAAGTTTTAAAAACCTCATAGTCAACAGAATTGAATTATTTGATGTACTTGTAGAGTTAACAAAAATATATATCATGATTCTATAATCTGAACTTGTTTTAAACTTTCTCCTTGAGAGCGTATTACATGCACAATTTATACTAAGGTTTGGTGAATTAAAACGTTCCAGCAGTGTCGAAAGAAATTAGTAAGTGTATAATACGCATATATCATATTGTTGATACTCATTTTAATTTTTTTAGGTCCGTATTTACAGGAAGCCTTGGAAACCTTTGTAGTTGGACACTGGTCTGTCTCAAGGCAAATAACCTCGAGACATTTGTCCGCCAGTAAAGAAAATTTGATTTTCCTGAATTCATTCCCAGCACAAGGCTACACATGGCTTGTAGAAAACCTCTCCAGAGAAGGGGACGTGGTTATTGATGCTGGAACCCCCAATGGCTATGCAATGGTGGCTGCGTTGAGGAAAGGGCGAAGCGCAGTTAGGATAGACAGTACCGCTTTGCCTTCCGAACAGGCAGCGATAGAGACTAAAATTTGTAGTCTTGTATCTTCCTAGTCTGATTTGTAAGTTGAATTACCTACTCATTAAAGCTATGGGTCCCGTTGGGAGCCCTTAGATTCCAACCGTGAGGTTCATTTCACTTGTTTTATTTAAAAGCATGGAAAAAGCGTCAGGATGAAGAGTATTGTTGACGTATATAGAAAAACATTAAAAAACTAGAGTTGAAAATGACGGTATAGATTAGGACCCTTAAAATTTCCTATCTGAAACTACTGCAGAGTTTCTTCAACACTACACGTAACATGGTGCAGAATTTCTGCAGCACTTGACGTTACACCGTGCAGAATTTCTGCAACACTTGACGTTACAGCGTGCAGCACTTGACGTTTCATCGTGCAGAATTTCTGCAACACTTGACGTTACACCGTGCAGAATTTCTGCAGCACTTGACGTTTCATCGTGCAGAATTTCTGCAGCACTTGACGTTACACCGTGCAGAATTTCTGCAACACTTGACGTTACAGCGTGCAGAATTTCTGCAGCACTTGACATTAAATCGTGCAGAATTTCTGCAACACTTGACAGTAAATCGTGCAGAGTTTCTGCAGCACTTGACGTTACACCGTGCAGAATTTCTGCAACACTTGACGTTACATCGTGCAGAATTTCTGCAGCACTTGACGTTACATCGTGCAGAATTTCTGCAGCACTTGACGGTACACCGTGCAGAATTTCTGCAGCACTTGACGTTACATCGTGCAGAATTTCTGCAGCACTTGACGTTTCATCGAGCAGAATTTCTGTAGCGCTTGACGTTACATCGCGCAGAATTTCTGCTGCATTTGACGTTATCCAATGCAGAATTTTAAATAAACCAGGTTATCGGATTTTTTAAATATTATGTAAAAATCATAGACTTTATTGTTCATATATTAAACGTTCAGAGAATTTTGGGCACTTTCACCATGTTTAACAGACCATGTAGTGGAAAATGGAATATTTGTATGAGTAAAATGCCTTGACATTTAACTGTCCGTGGAATTAAACAAAGTTTTGCCCTTTTGAAACGACTCTTTTCCTTCCTCCGTGAAAATCGAAGTCTTTCTGGTGTTATCATTTATGAGACATTTCCGTGCTTTCTGCCTAGATAGTGCCACTTTGAGGTCACCCTCCCTCTAGGTCTTTAAAAAAAAGGTGTTATTCGACGTATTTTTGCGGAATTGACACTAATTTTACTCCTAAATAAGCCATTTTTGGCGGAAAACGCTATTTTGGAAAACACAAAATAGTTTGGAAAGCGTTGCAGCCGAATTACGCCGTTATTTAACGGCTTAAAATCTTACAATATATGTTTCATCGACTGAGCCAAATTACGCAGTTAGTTAACGGCGTAAACTCTTACAGTATATAGATATACAGACCGGAAGAAATTACGCCGTTAATTAACGGTGTAAAATATTACAGTATATATCACCAACTGAGCCAAATTACGCCATAAGTTAACAGTGTAAACTCTTAAAGAATATAAATATACAGAGCGGAAGATATTGACCCGAATGAAATTACGCCATTAGTTACCGGCGTAAGATCTTACAACATGTATTTACACCGACTCAGCCAAATGACGCCGTTAGTTAACGGCGTAAAATCTTACAGTATTTATACACAGCGACTGAGCCCAATTACGTTTGTGGAAAAAATCTTACAGTATGTATAATTTATGTTTAAATACTACTCAGAAGGCTTTATCCACCACAGGTACTCCTTGTTTCCTTTTTCATTTCGCTAATAAATAGTGAACTCTTGTACGGGTATCTAATGCCTTCGTTAATTGCAACTACAATATCCGTTGCATTGCGGGAGTGTTTCTTCTTTTTCTATTATGTCTTGGTGAGGTCACCTTAGTAAGTACCGCAAAGAATTCTCAGTCAAACTTGAAAAGTGACAGGGCATGCGACAACTTTCACGGGTATTGCGTTGGTAACAACTTTCTCACCGTAGTTAATCATAACCGTAACTACAGTGGTATGTGTGCTTCTTTTGGTTCCGAACCGCGCCCCATTCGCACTTCTAATCATCCAACGAAAACCCAAGAAATTCATTGCAACCTAATTTGAATTCGAATGTCTTGTCTTGCTTTTTTTTTTATTTTGTGTGTGTATATTTGTGTTTGGCCGTTAACTAACGGCATAATTTGGCTCAGTCGGCGATAAATATATTTATATTATAAGATTTTACGCCGTCAACTAACAGCGTAATTTGACTCTGTCGGTGATATATATATATATATATATATATATCTATTGTAAGATTTTATGCCGCTAACTAAAAGCGCAAATTGGCTCAGTCGGTGATATATATTCTAATAGTAATGTCGGCTCGCATAGGACGGATCTTAATCATGAGTTGGGATGAATATTCATCATAACGAGTTATGTGACAAAGTGTCACGCCAGAATGTTATGTAGGTCATGCACGTTTTTACTTTAATGGGAGAAAGAAAACAAAACAACAGGTTTTCAATCAAACAATTTTGATATTAAAATGGTCCTCAAATAACAAGCAGGACGTGGACTCTTTCCCAGTGGACAATCCTCAATACATCATAAAATAGAAAAAATGAGCATTCAAGAAGTTCTCACAAATCAGTCAACATGGCTACCATTTTTTTTTTTTTTTAATAACATCTATGTTAGCGAATAGAGGGCGGTATGTTGCTCGCACCAATCAGACCGTTTAGGGTAGGTATCACGCACCAAATAGATCGCCGCATTAAGGTATGTATCTCGCACCAATCAGAGCGTCGTTTTTGTTCTTTGGTTTGAGAAGTGTTCAAATTTCAACGAAGTAACGGGGTATTCGGAGAGAGCGGTTCCAAATAGAATCATCTTTTAGAATGAGAAATGTTGGCTTTTCTGTGTTTTAAACATGTACATGTATTTTACCGCGCTTTATGAGAAATGCGATACTACTAAACAGATGAAAGATGTCGGATTACCTATAGTAAACTTGTTACTCGTGCTGTGAAAATGGTGGATGGATGCTATCTCTGGCTGAATGTCTGATTAAAATTAACTATGGACGATTTTGTGTGTGTTTTCGATGCCTGAAGAAAGTGATCTTGTGGAGTCGTTTGTGTTTGGCCAAGGACGAATTCACATACCATCGTTAGTATGCTTATTTGATTTTGTTATCTGGGACGAATGATTTACGGCGGTAAGTTAATATGATGTGATCTACTAGCGTCGAAAAATATATCAAGTCGAAGGAACAGTTTTGGTCTCAGTCTGCATTTTCGTCAACAAAATAAACAAATACCGCTTAAAAAGATGATAATACGACCACGTGCAAAGCTGTCAATTGTTTCTCGAATGTTGCGCGTGTCAAATATTCAATCGTGACATCTCATTTACATCTACATCTAATTTTATTACGTTGGTAAAATATGTACAGACATCATACCAACCAACTCGCGCGCAAAGTGAGAAGACTACACAAGGGCTTGAAATTATATTAAGATCGATTTTGATCAAGAAATGGGCCAGGAATATTCCACAGTAGTGCAAATAATCGTGAAAGCTGATCACGGAAAAGCGATTGCGTGACGCTCGGTAAGTTGTAAGATGACATGCTATCACTAAACGAAAAAACTCTTTAGATTCTCAGTCTGTATTTTGTACCCACTCTGCAGTCTGCAGTCTACATTTTTTACCTAGTCTACATTTTGTATCCGGTTTGCAGTCTGCAGTCTGCAGTCTACATTTTGTACCTAGTCTACATTTTGTATCCGGTCTGCAGTCTGCAGTCTGCATTTTTTACCTACAGGTATCCGTGGCACCAATACAGTTTATTTTTGGTTAAAGTTATTCGTACAACACACACAATCTACCACGAAATACCTGTGTGTCAGTTAATTCGCCATTTTCGTTCTTTTCCACGTTGATACTCTTCTTTCCCTTTGTTAAGATGTAGACATCACTTGCAATGTTTCAAGTAATCCACCCACCCCCAAAAAGTAATTCTTGCTTGCATAGCATGCCTATGTTTATATCCTCGGGTGTCAAACGTTTTAAAAACATGTTTTGACAGTTCTTCTGTCATCTTCAGTTCTGAATAATAGAGAGAATTATGTAGATCAAGCTTCCACAACTTTTCAACTTAAAATCAAAGAAGCTATCCACATTCAAGGGGAGAAACCTACACCTAATCATCAACGTTATCATGTTAATTTAAAACTTTCCTTGTAAATGCATTGGTTATTCTGTTACCAATGTTTGTCTTGTCCAATCAACACTTGAATTCAACGTTGAACTTTGTATCATTCAGAACTGAAGATGACAGAAGAACTGTCGAAAAATGTTTTTAAAAAGTGTCGTTCATTTTCTTAAAACTACAACCTTATAGGATAAAGCAGTTAATGTCATCAAAAAGTCGAACAAAACTTTTATCTAACCCACTTCAGTAAGAACGAATGGCTGCTAATGAATCGCGCCTTTTCACTCACAAAAACAACGCCGATGTGCAGTAGGTAAACGAAAGACTAAAAACAGTTGGCAGTTACAGTTATACGAAAACAATAGATTATTAGAGTTGATATTCTCTTAACGTTAAAAAGAGTTATGATCTTATATCGATTGATAAAGGGCAAGCAAAACAGGTATCAAAAAAAAAAAAAACAAACTACGCCATGATTGCTTGTTCCCCTTGCAGAAGGTTTACGCCACCACCTCCCAATATTCCTAGTGATCATGATCATGTGTCTAGAAAGTCTATATTAAAAATAGTAGTCATAGAACTCATCAAGCAATGACAATCTTTTAGGCTTTTGACCGGAAAGTGCGCTCATTTTTTTTTCCTGAGGAAAAAAGTAGATTAGGGAGTTAAATAGAATTGTTCTGAGCCATTTGAGGTGATACAGTTCACACAAGAACCAAAAACAAAACAACGAAAAAAAAATAAAAAACATCACAACAATATTCAGAAAATTGGTCAGAAATTCAACTCTCGACGCGGGATTTTGTGTCTCCGGCTGCTCGGAAGGGTAGAGCACTCTTTACCGATATAATATATCCCAGTCAACATTAACGGGGTCGTTTCTAACGTTAATACCAAGGTATTAGCGATATTAACATCTAATTATTTAGATTTCGTGAAAAAAGGAGAATATCAACAACGAATCGCCTAAGATACATGCTAGTAGCTTATAATGATAAAGCTTGGTATGAAGGAAAAGCGACTGACAAAACTGGTTCACTTAAAGAGTTGCCTTGTGAAGATGCCATTAATAAAACAAGGTTTCGCTGCCTCTTATGGTCTTATACAGCTCACCAGCTAGTCTCCTTTATTTCTTTTCTCTGCCTTCCAACCCCATCAAACTTCCTAGCAAAATATATTCGTGGCCAAAATAATTCGTGAAGAAAAAAAAATCTACGAATAGTCAACTGGTCTGATTTTCATTTCTGATGTTTGGGGAGTGGTGAGTTCTGGCTTGTCAGGAACTAAGAATCCCCAATGAAACTTTCCCCTTCCGTCCCCTCGATAAACACCGTTGAGATTTGAGGCAAAAGAACAGTTCTTTTTACTCATGTACCACCATCCTCCTCCAATATTAATGCGATCAGAAGAAGCACAATCATTCTTGTCCCATGTGTTAAAAGACAGGCCCATATGAGGGTGGAGAGAATCGATAACTGTCGAACCTTCTAAAATGAATATGTAAAATTTGAATAAATGAAAAATAAACAGATAGTTTCTCTTTTATATATTGTGAACAAGTATAAGAATCAGACAAATAAATCATCTTAAACAACTGAGGGTGAGAGAACAAAGAAAACTTAGAGTTCCCGGGAGTCCATGATGGGCGCCTGGAGTTCCGCGATGATATTGAATTTCAGCTATCACTTGAAAGGAGGGTGTGACGTACTTACGAGTAAAGAAAGGTTCTTCACAGGTAAGCTGTAATTAAAGAAATTGCTGTAAACAGGCCTGAAAACTGAAGTCAGTTTTTGACGCGATTGGAACCGTTCCTTCTAGACACTTCAACGATTCCTCTACTTGAACGAATAATAAACAAAGAGACTATTGACTTACCCGATAGATTTCCAAGGCTCAACCTGTACTTATCTTTTTCTTCTCCTAATCCAAACCACTCGTATTCAGTTTGCACCGCTTTATTAGGGGCTACTCCAAGATCCACTCGGAGTCTATTTTTTGTTTCATTTCTTGTCAGGCGACGGATCTTGTCAAATCCGAGCCAAAACTCTCCTTTGAGGTAATTGCCAAAGCCATATTTGTATTCATCCCAGGTGCGGTTGAAATCGACAGAGCCATCAAGTCTTCTTTGAAATACAGTCCACCCCCCATCACTTGTTGTCTGGTCACAGTATACATCAAAGGCACCAGAACCATCAGGGTCGATTGTATAGACACCGCTGACTCTTATAGCGGATTTGTACAGCTCAGCACAGTTCTTGGCTAAAGAAGAAAAACAGAGTTTCATGAGCTGAATTGCATTCAGATCTGCAGTGTGCAGTAGTCTAGGAGGCGTCTCTTATCTCTGATATCATCGCAAACTAACTGGGAAACAGAATTAAAAAGGTTAGAGAAGAAGAAACGAACTGACATCACCTTTCAACCTGTGTTTTTTTGTCCTCTTTGTGTGTCTCCTCTAAATCGCAAATTTCGTGCGATCTCACACTGGCTCAGCATTTATTTTTTTACCATGAATTAGTCTTGGAAGACCTTTCTTTATATTGAATCCGAGCAGAATTGGCGCCCTTCAAGAAATTTGACGTCACATTATATAATACATCACATTGTCCCATTCACATAAACTGCGGTGTTATACAAGGATTTCCGGCCCTGAGAAAAGCCTTAACAACACACGTGAAAAAATATCGTATTTTTTCACCTGTGTTGATATAGTCAATAAGCTGCTGACAGGTTACTCGCCTTTGGCGCCACTCGGTCAGGTTGATGAATGAACCGCAAACCCTCTCGATTCTAATTACAAATAGTTTGTCGGATGTTTCTCGAATTATGGCTGCTAAAACACTAAAAGAACTGTATCGCTCATCGACAGTGGGGTTGAAAGTTTTCTAGAAGAGGAAGAAAACCAATATACAAAAAGAAAAACCGAAAGTTACGAATTTAGTGGCTTTGGTGTTGCCATTTCCCTCGGCTGGGAATGACTGAAAATCAACAGTGGGAAGATTTGCCACTGGCCGATTTTGGCCGTTTACCCGAAAGACTTCTTCTGTCGGTAAGGAAAAAGTCAATAAATGAGAAGTTTGTAAATATAAAATTACGACCGTTGTTGTTTTTGACATCATCATTCAACGCATTTTTCCTTCTTAAGAGTTAGCGCTAACGCACTCTACGATTGTCGATTCATTTAATTTCTTTAACTGATGAAGTCGGTCTTTCTTCTCAGTATAGGGCTATTGTGTTTATATAATAGACAATATGATACATGGTTGCTTGTAGATATGGAATTTCTCTTCTCGTGTTCTCGATCTATCGAGTTAAACACTTGAAGCGCGCGCCCATGTATTATTCTATATTTGTCGCGCGATATTTTGATTTTATCACGCGATAAAAAAATGTGGCATGTCCTCTATGAGCCATCGTAAAATGCCCACATATCTTAGGAACTTTGCGCAAAGAAGGTTACAATGAATCCCAAATTGGTCATCTATTCAAAACTCTGGCTCCACCAAATTTCCTATACGCTTTAGCTGTTTAAGGCGCCTCGGAATCTGACCTCTCCACATATTTATTCAGTAAGTGCTTATGAATTATCCAGGGGCGTCCAGGAGTCTAAATGAAAACACCTCTGAAATATTGATGACATTCCCTTTCATCTAAAAGTTGGAAAGTCACACAAGCCTCCTTCAATTGTTTAATTTCTTACTTTTCGAGAGGACATAACATCTAATTAAACCATGGAAGGTGAGAAGTTAATTTCTCCGCACGCAGAGCAACGTAATCTGTAAATACGAATTTGACAAAATGTCCAATTTTTTTCATGGAAGTGATTCGAGTTAAATTGAAACTTCCCTTTAACTCATAAGTTCAGGTTTGTTTTTTTCTATTACACGTGTCTTTGGTCCGTTAAGTGAAAAAAAATAGGGGATTGATAAAACAGTCGATTTTTGACAAGCCTGCAGGGCGATTCAAAATACAAAAAATCGAGTCGGGTATCAGGAATTAGATATCAGGAATGTAATGTATCTAGAAAACTTAGAAAGTTAAAGTCTTCTCCCCTCTTTCAGTATCCATTTCCGCTTTCTCGTGTCCCATTGAAGTAGGAAGGTCATCTGTATCTCTGCACGCAAGGCTCCTTCAATAATTTGTTTCTTCTGGGGGATGAAATATTCCTCTAAAAATATCTTATCAGGCGTTTTGGGGTGTAGTATCGCTGAGCATTTTTACGAGTTGTACCGTATTTGACTCGCCCTACGGGCAAAGAACGAATAGAAATACTCAGCAATACTACACAACAAAACGTTTAATAAGTTGTTTATTATCCAACTGCTTTTATTTTTCTGCTCATTTCTCATACGGCGGAAAAGCAAAGTGGATAGAGAAGCGTAGCGTGCGCTGCCGACTGGTTAAATAAGCTCTTTTATAACATGGCTAGTAAATTTGTCTAATCAAATTCAATTGCGCGAGCGTGCTTCTCATTCCTATTGTGCACGAACATGACGTCAACAAACAAATCCCTCGAGAAAAAAAATTTCCATCGGGTCCAAACTTCCTAAGTGCTTCATATCTCGATGAACGCACGCTGACGTATGAACCAATTGTTAATTAGAGTATAAAATAACAAACTGTCCATATAGTGTAACCACATAAGATGTTTGTGCTCTATTCGCGCGCTTTTTTTACTCTACTTTGTACAGTTGGATAATAAAAGCCTAATATTCTATGTCCATTTTGCTTTCAAGCTTGTAGGTCTTGTAATTTTCTACACGCAAGCTTAAGTGTCCTTTATTTATTTATTACATTTTTTTCCAGATACAAACAGAATCTGTAGCTCCCATTGCGTGCATGCATTTTGACGTCAACATCTGGGACATCGGCCATGTGCTTTGTCGGAAAAGAACTAGTCGCCGTGTTTGTACTGGCATATTTTGCTACCTAAAATTGTTGAGTTATGGTCAATAATGGTCTTAACTCGGAACAGTCAGTAAGTTCTATCGCATTTCGTACGTATTGTAATTTCGCTCGCTAAAGGTGTTATTTCTGTTCGTAGAAAACCCGCCTTATTGTCTAACCGGATGTTTATTCGGCTTGATTACTAAAACATTTGTGTATTTTCATTGGAATACCTGTAAATAAATGTTTGAGTTTTTGTTTTCGAGTCTTGGAGTTAGGGTTAATATCCCGGTATCACGATGAAGGATGACATTATCGCTGGAGAGAACTTGTATGTGGTAATTGGAGTAAAAAGACAGCTGCATATTTGGTGTATGGAGTGATACAGGTCTGCAAATGTATTACTATTAAAAGTTGGGAAAGCATCAAGTTAAGTCAGGAGTTTTAACAGGTAAATTTAGTGGTGAGCAAGGGAGGATTTATTGTCCCTTAGTTGAGGATGGAGTGGTACTAAAAGAATTGCTGAAATCTGTCAAATGGGTCATCCTAACTTTGTTCCGAAAAAATCGTAATAAATAATTTACTAAAATTTCATGATTACATCTCACACCTAATGATACTGGGACTGACGATTTTACCGGTGAATTCCTACTCTCGTCACAATCGCAAAAAGCATGAAATCATCACGTGACCATACACAAGGAAAATGATCTAACTTACATATCCTTGCTCTTTTGTTTTCCTTTAGAATTTTAACTTGCAATTGAAGCTGTCCAAGTTGTTTCTGTATTTCTTTCAGGGATCCTCGGGTGTCATTATGGCAAGGGGCTCCATGCGTCGAAGCGAAACGTTTTGTCATTATGAAAAGCGCCACAAGCAGTAAAGTCCAACTTAGGGAAACAGAAGTCATTTTCATGCTTGAAGCTCAATCCAACTCAGTATAAACTGCAATCGGTTATAGTGCAATGTAAATTCAGACAAGAGTAAAATTCAGTAAATGAGCCGATAAAAAAAAAATCAGGCACCGATCAAATTAAAAAATCTAACCAGGAATTGGTTCTTACTTGCAAGGGATGTGGCCTTCCAAATGTGCTACAGAAATTTCTTGCAGATTCAGCGAGTTCTCTGGCACTGCCTCTAGGTAGATCGAAGGATCTTACGCTCTGTCCGAGCAGAGTGCATTCTTACTTTTTATAAGCATGCCCCGTACCTGGTATCAAGAGTACGGACATGACATTCGCAAATGGTCCGGATGCGTTGCAAGCTGTTTTATCAAGTGTAGGTCATCATTTCTCCGCACGCAAGGCTTTTTCAATTGTTTTATAACTTCCGTATTTTCCTTTTAGGTTTGGTGTTGAGTACGGACATGACATTCGTAAATGGTCCGGATACGTTGCCTGCTGTTGTATCAAGTGTAGGTCATTATTTCTCCGCACGCAAGGCTTTTTCAATTGTTTTATATCTGCCGTATTTTCCTTTGGGGTTTGGCGTTGACATATTTCCCAGCACGCAAACAACCTTAAGTTAGTAAATACTAATTTGACAAAATGTCCAATTGTACTTAATTAAGTTAATCGAATTGATTTTAAATTTTCCCTAATAAGGTTATGTTTGGCTTTTCGATTAAGAAGTCTTGGTCTCCTAGGTGGAAAACGAGTGGGTTGATTGAAATGGCTCTTGTTCCTCTTGTTCGAGGAGGTCTATCTGCATTGACCCGCGTGACGATCATGTCAGACAGAATAAGTATGTCTGCAGATTTATTTCAGGTGAACTAGCCTGTAGAGTCAATGTTGCTAAGGATCGGAAATTTCTAACAATCTTCTTCTGGATACTGTTGCCCGAATTATAAGCATCTTGCTCATAAGAACTATCAATGTGCATGTGTTAATGGCAAGTTACGCATTCATTGCAAGCGTTTATGTCGGATTAAACTATTTAAAGACAAAAACGAGACTATAACGACAACGAAAGTTTTATGGTTACTAAAGTTCTTGCATATATATGAATTAAGTTCCTTCCATAATGCGTCAGATCTAATGATCACGAAATTTTAAGTAAATTTGTCGTGTGTACTTCAAGTTGAGGATGTCATCGCCTGCTTGATTATACCGATAAGAACACAAGCATCACGTTTCTTCTCCAATGAAAGACGGAGCATCAGTTTCCTCCGCATGCAAAGCTCCCTCAATTTTTGTTTGCATGTTTGTTTTCCTTCGTTTCGTATTGTTTCGTTTTTCTTTTTTCTTTTCTTTTTTCATTATTTTTTTTTTTTTAATTCCTTATCGAGGGAAGTCTGTTATGGATTTAATATTCCTATTGACTTAATAGATTATGTGATGTTACTTTATTTTTTTTTTGTTTGTTTGTTTCGTTGTTTATCAACGGACATTAGTGAGGTATTCGATATTCCTATCTAAATTTAAGTATACAAGAAAGCTTTAAGTAAGGGTTGTTTCTTCTCTTTCAGAATCCTCTTTTGCTCTAGCTTATGTCGGTATTGAAATGCATATTTTTATGTCCCTTTGCAGTTGGAGGGTCACCAACCCCAATTCACGCAAGGCTCCTTCAATAATGTGATTTTTGATAAGCGGATATCCATTAAGGACGTAGTACTCCTATGAAACATGATCTATGTATCCCCATTTAGCTTCCTAGTTTGAAAGTCACGAAATTTTTCGCGCGCAAGGTATTCTAGAGCTTTTGAAATACTAATTGTATCGTTCTTACATTAGTTTAATATATCAAATAGATTAACGGCAGTAACACTCAAGGACTGTCGTTTGAAAAATAAAGACTGCAGTAAATATCGGCTCACATTTGGGACCGCGGAGGAGGTTTTGTGAAAGCCATTTCTTTCTTAGCTGATGAAAACCTCACCGTTTCACTCATCGGCTCTACGCATGTTTATTTTTGTCGGAAGACAGTGCTTCCGGTATTTCATTTAACTCATTTTGATTGGTTACCTGCTCATTTCCGGAAATGCTGTAACGCGCAACTAAACAGGGGGTCATTTACTTTTCCACAGCCTCCTTAGGCTTCTTCTCGCCCTTCCCCCGCCCCTTACCCCCACCGTCCACTCTAACTCCAAATCAAACATGGCCGGTGGGATGAACGATCGCGAGCTCATAACGTCAGCTCGCCCTAATAGGACGCCGGCACTGCAGGCTACGGGAACGAAGTCGAAGAACCTTCTAGAATTTGATAACATGTGGCTTTGCAACACAGTTCAGTGATAGTAGCGCCCATTTACTATCTCAAGGGCAAAGGCCCCATTCTTGTCATAGCCTGAATTTTTTAGGCCTTTTTTTTTTCTTTCTCGACTTTCCAATTGCAGATCATCTGCGAGAACAATTTATTTACTTGTGCTCCATTCGCAGGACAAAACATCATCCATGTTATACTACATGCCGTTTGGCTAAATTATACCAGGAAACAGCATAAAGGAAATCAATACAGACATAATTAAAGCAGTGTTGCTGTTAATTTGATGATGACGACGATTAATAAAAGAAGCAGATCGCCTTACCTAACAAATTTCTCAGGCTCAACTGATACGTAGCCGTCACTAACTCCGAACCAATCATACCCAGCGTGGACAGAATTTTTTATCAGTCACTCCAAAATCTACTTGAGGTCCGTTTTCTATCTTACTTCGCCTAAGACGGTGTATCTTGTCCAGTCCGAGCCAAAATTCGCCGATGAGGAAATTACCGAAGCCATGTTTGTAGTCAGTTCATTCTCACTGTCAACCCCCTCCCACCGGCTGTTTTCTAATCGCAAGATACGTCACAGGCATATGAATCATCATAGTCGACTGTGTAGACACCGCTGATTACACTGATTCTCTCACCCAATTTGTGCAGCTCAGCACTGTTTTTGGCTGAAATGAAAAACTTGCTGGAAGTTTCATCAGCTGAGTTACTCATGCACGTGCAGCACGCAATGGTCGAAGAGATTAAAGTTGCCTCAGCTTGATTTTGCTTTTTTTCAGACTAACCGGGGAAAAAGAAAAAAAAAAGGTTAGGGGAGAGGAGACGAAATTAAATCGTGCTTTAGCCAGCGTTTTTTCAAACCCAAGAGCACTGGTGGGTCGTTAATCCCCTTAGGAGGTTATCATAAATCAATCAATACAATCCTCGTTCTTGTTCACGGAGGACGCCCATGACAATGTTATTCTATATTGATAATCATATTATGGCGCATTAATCTGACTGATGTTATCGTTAAACGATTTAATTAATAGTAAGTTGTCATCGCCAGAAAAGTGGATCCAAAATGGGTGGCCTTGCCAAATGAGCTGTTAATCCTCTAACTGCATCGAGACATGTCTGACCCTCAAAACCGGGCAGAGTTCCAAACAAAAAATAAACAAATTTTGCCCCAAAACAGTCTAATATTACTCTTTATCGAATGGATATATGTAAGGTTTGTTACGCTTACATAGGATTAGAAAACAGAAAATTTAAGTCGCATCTGCCCATATCCTTGACTCATTAACATACAATGCGGCTTCGCAAAAAGTAACTAAACAAAATTCGCAAAACTGAACGAAGTTTGTTTGTTTCATGCCAAGCAAAGCATTGAAAAAACATCGGAAATGTATGATCATAACTAGGCAGCTTGTACATTCGAAGAAAATGTCACTCCACGGAAAATTTAACAACTCTTACCTAAAAAAATTTTCGCTAATAATAGAATGATCGATACTAAGCCCAAAGACATCTAGATGACTCGTGTCACATTTTATGTGCGCGTTCTGATTCTACTTTTCTGGCGATGAGTTACGAAATGAGCGATGTTCCTTTCATTGTGCTTCATTGATTTCTAGGGATTTCATTATCGGAGATCTCGCCTTTAACCACAAAGTACACATTTAGTATAATTACGTGAGTGGGTGTGTGTTCTTTCGCCGCAAAGAACAATTACCTGCAACGTACAAATTCTGATGTTAAGTCCTGCTGATGCAATCCGGATTATGGTTTACAGAGATAAGTTACGGAAACGCCCAGAAAAAGGCACAGCAGCATCCTAATTAAGGGAAGAGAAGGGATAAAACGTACAATTGAGCCGAGAGGTTACATGAAAAGTAAGTAGAAAATTATTTTTTAAACTCAAGCTAAACGTATTACTCTTAATGGTTTTCTTTTATATTCGATTGCCCGAATCATGCGCATCTAGCTTGTCCAAAGACTTGTTGAGCAATGTACATACCAGCGGTAATTTCCTATTCCGTCTGCAACCTTGTGTGCTTATATTTACTTAAACCATGTTAAGACAAAAACGAAACTAAAAAGATTGAGATATTTTTAGGATTGCTAAAGTTCGTGCATATTTAAAGTTTAATTAATAACATGGGTTCAAATCCCTTACAGGCCTGAATTTTTTCAGGCCGTATTTTCTCGACTGCTTAAGTAGTGTTCAGTAATTCGAAGATAGCTTCCAAGTTCATTTCTAAGACCGCAGTACGCATATATGATTTCATATATTTACAGTCGTTCAACAGACGGAGTTTTGCTGTAGGACCAGACAGTTTATGAAATGTATATACCCTACGCACATAAAATCATTTGCTCGAGAAGGAAAATAATTCACTTCTTTTACCTCTTTGGTGGCAAATTGAAAGAAATGAAGTGTCCAAGCGAAAGTGCTGAAAATTGAACATCGCGACTAAAGGTATTTATTTCTTCCTCTGTGTATAGGACAATCGACCCAGGCACTTCTTCCGTTGTCGCTTCTTCGTCTTGTTTAGTTGAACTTTTGCTTGTCATTTTCTGGCCCCGGCGTGTTCACAGGGTTTTCTCGCTTTCTCGATGTCGCAGGGGAAAGAGGTTTTTATGCTTCTCCAATGATTTTTAGTTCATATCAAAACAGGGAGGAACCTCTGGCTCACTTTGAAAGACGCTTTTGTTAGTTATTTACTAAAATGTAAATTGCCTGTACCCAGTTTAGACCTCTCAGTTATCGGTGTCTTTATTCATTTTAATAGAGATTACTGCACTGTGGGAGTAAGGTGAGGTTTTTTATTTATTTTTTTCTTTTGAGAATTTGACTGCATTTTTACTTACTACGAGCGATCGTAAATATTCCTACACAAACTCTTATAATTTCGCCACGACTGTTAATTCGCAAGATGATCATTTCACAGCTGGAGCTTGGGCTTCCTGTGGTCTTATCCTGAGAATTATACAACTGAATATAATTGATCCATCTCCTGGGAAATGGCTCGTCACTGTACTTCGGCCACGCTATACACGTCATGGTAAGGGCTGCCACAATAGCTAGTGTGCAGTTTGGTGGGCTGGACGAGTTATCAATTTCAGGTATAACTGGAGGAAAGGAAAAGGAAATCAGATGCACGAAACAATTCTTTTTCAAAAACAAGGCTAAATGCGCACTTTCGATCGGTCGCAACGACGTTGAGAAAAAAAAAAGGAAAACTCGTCATTCAAACAATACCGGATTTATTCATAAACTGTTGCCTTATGTATCGCCATCATCGATCACTTGCTGTTACTTAACTAGTCAGGCGAGGAGTCATAACCAATAGAAATAGCGGTGATAATGATCAACCAATCACAGCAATTCAGAGCTAAATGATCAAAACTGATCCTCGTTCTTAAAATGTGATGACGATTGTGATATGCAATGGCAGCTTTACAATCTATTTCATAGATGACTGCATCGTTTCGCAAAGACAAATGATTCCACTTTAATATCATCGTACTTCAGTGCGATGAACAACACTGTACAACCTTTTCTTGCGAAAATCAAATATACTTATAATTCTTTCAAATATTACATGTCTTGCAAGCGGCTTGAGGAAGGTTCAACAGACCGCTTGTGACAGAGAGTTTCAATAGAAACACTGATCTAGAAACGTTCTCCGGCCGAGATGTGTTTTCCATATTTAGTGACACTTCGGTAAATCTTTTTTTCCGTCCAACTCGAATCAAAAGACCTGAAAAAGAGATTTCAAAAAGTGTATCTTTGGATCAGTTCTTCCTGCACGGGTATGCACCGAGGCCCCTGATCATTAGTCATTGCGCTTTTTTTTTTTTTTTTTTTTTTTTTTTTTTTTCAACAAAGACATCACTGGACAGAAATGCGAAGAATTGTGTTAACTTCATCTCAATTCAAATTATGTACCACTTCCTGTTTTAAAATGTAGTGTGAAATCAATGCTCGTTGTGAGACTTTAAAATAAGCTCGGATATCACGTACAATATGAGTTCATATTAACGTCATCGCTCTTTATTCATACAAGCCGGTCTAGCATGACAAATGGCACAATGAAGTCTTTTCATCGAATTTCATTTAACTCACAGGAGACGATCAGAGGAGAAATTATTTAACTTCGCAACATACGCACCAAGTAAGAGGTCAAAATAATATATGATTCTCGACTTTCACAACCACGTACTCTGCTTCTTGCCAATTACAGCGGGGACAGTGGCGATTCGACACTTAAATCTTTAAAAATTCAGACGAAAGTGTCATGAAGGACGTGGGATAGAATAAGAATCTCTTTGAAATTACGAGACAGAATCATCACCGAAGTCGATAGACATAAAAAAGTGAGTGATATGTGTCAGATTCTAAGCTTTACCCTCTTTTACCCTCCGGGTAGGACTAAATTCGTTGTTTCAAGGATACTCCCGATAAATATTTGTAAATGAAGTAACGCAAACTGGCAAACACGGAAAAACTATTGAAATAATTAACTTCTGCTATCAATTAATCTTAAGTAACCTATACCTGTGAGGAAAAGTGACTTTGACCTCAAGTTTTACGCTATGTCTTACTTATTTCATGTTTTAAATTTTACTTTTTAGGAAAGTCCTGGGTTTCAATGATGAATTTTTTTTTTCCTGAGAAGCCCATTTTATACACTTTAAAATGACATATTGTAGGTGTTATTCCTGTAAATATTTGTTGAGATGTGAATTGAAAACTGAATGTAGACAAATTTTTGCTAATTTTTTTGGAGCGAGCGAGTATCTGCTTTCGTGCAATAGAACAGTGTAGATCTTGCAGGTTTCGCTTCACTCACCGGCTAACTTTACGAGGGAAGGTGCTATGTTCTAATTTGAGTACAAACCAGGAGGGACCTTTTCATGAAGAAAAAGAGTGGAGTTCAACTGAAGAGAAGCATGGCTACGGTTCTAACGGTGGTTTTGAGAAACGCAACAAGGAGGCGGCTGGTCTATTTTATCTTAACACTCTGAAGTTACCTGAAAAGCTACAACAGAACTTAGACAGCTATCTCAAGAGTAAGGGAATTATTTCTCTTGTGACATTCTCTTGGTCTCAGCATGTTGCATTGGCTAGATCTGCATTTAATGCCAAAGTTAAAATGTTGAGACGTATAAATTTCCTATGTACATCTATCTTGGAGACTTTTTACTATAGGATAGTTATACCAAGTGTTCTATATGGAATTGCAATTTGGGGGTCTGGATCCAAGCTTAAAGATCTAGAAATGATTCACATCAGGGCTGCCAGGCTAATTCATAAGATACCAAATAGTTTTGGGGATAATGATGTACTTTCTAAGGTTGGCTGGATGCCTTTAGAGTATTTTTATAAGCTACGTATCTTAACTATTACATATAATGCTTATTATAATTTAGGGTTGCGGGAAATTAATTGTTTGGTGACCAAGAACTCTAACAGTTATAACCTAAGGAAATCCCTGAATGTTGTACTTAATAGGCCCAAAACCGAATTGGGTCGTAGGTCCTTTGCTCATAGATCTGCAGTAGCATGGAATGCACTTCCCGATAATGTTAAAGATTCTCCAAATTTATCTATTTTTAAATATAACTTAAAACAATCCAAGCAAACTGTTATGAATATTAATTTTGAAAAGGGAGGTAATGTTATACAAAACATGAAACCAAATTTTCACTATTACTAAAACTTTATGGTTTACTTGATTTATTCAACTTATAAATTTTATCATATCTGTATTTTATATAATTATAGACTAATTAGTTTAGGCAGGTCCACATCAGCTGTAAAGTTGCGCAAATTTTAACCTGCGTTATCAAATAAAGTTATGTATGTATGTATGTATGTATGTATGGAATGACATGGGTGCACATAAAAATTCATAAAAAATTCATTATCTATTCTTTTTCTTTCAGATTTTCAGGAAATGTTGCTGACATGTCAATAATTAACTTCTGTTGTCAATAAATCTTGAGTAACCTATACCTGTGAGGAAAAGTGACTTTTGACCTCAAGTTTTACACTATGTCTTACTTATTTTGTGTTTTAAATTTTACTTTTTAGGAAAGTCCTCGGTTTCAATGATGATTTTTTTTTCCTGAGAAGCCCATTCTATACACTTTAAAATGACATATTGTAGGTGTTATTCCTGTAAATATTTGTTGAGATATGAATTAAAAACTGAATGTGGACAAATTTGTGCGTTTTTTGTAACTGCTGGTGTTGGGTTAATGACAACATATTGGTCAACAATATCAAGACTTGCTAGTCTAGAACTTCCTTTAAAGCGGAATGCAGAGCATGTAAGATTAAAAAGAATTAAAATCTTTTTAAAATTGCGATAGTCAGAATCATTACCGACAGACCGGTAGATTTCTAACAATGATTGATCTGGGCTAGGTTTAAACCTGGAACCTCTTTGTTCATTACAGCGCTTTTTTTCGTTAAAGCCTTGTAATTAGAATCCCCTATGTAATGGAACGCATAGCTATGGCCAAGTACAAGAACCTTTTCATCAAATCATCGTTGATAGACACTTTCCTATATTTTTACCAAAGCTGGAGTCAATAAGACTGAGTCAATAAAAGCTGAACCGTGTATTTTTAGAGACTGCAATAGACAAAGTTCTTATCGTACGATATCTTCCAAGAACAGATAGTTACAGTTTGGGCGGGGAACTTGCATGAAGCACTAAAACGTCGTGACTGCTTTTAGTCGCAAACTGTATGTAGTTCAACGTATCAATTCCACGCCTTTGACACGAAACAGACGTCACGTCGATGTGCGACAAAAACAGGAAGAAAAAAAAACACAAAAAAGGAACTCACTCTTACAACTGGGATTTCTGAAACATCAGTGAGCTTTACGTGGTATCCTCAACAAAGGCTTTAAAGCAAGACAGCTTCTTGATTAATCTGCTTGCGTAGTGAGAGGCCACTGTAAAGCAGGTGCAAAATACAAAGGAACGAAACAACTACACATAAAAAATTTCCGTTTATGAGTAATTTTTTGACTGACAAACATCGTTCCCGGAAGTCCAAAAGTGCCCTAGCTACGCTAAGGAATAAATTGGGGCATTTTTAAGGCAAAACGTAATGTTTTCGAATCTGATGTCGGTAGCGCTTATTAGTAAGACTCCTAAAGTTTCCATTCGAGGAATGTTGTTTTTAACAATTTTCTTTGATAATAAGGAAACCTTTTACGTTATTTTAGTACACGATTATACTTGACCGTTTCCCACGGATACAGACAAGAAAACCTCTTTAGTTATTTTCGTTTTAAATATAAGTTATTTGTTGCTGCATAATTTTTTTCACCGTTTCCGTCTTTCCCGGAAGTCCAAAGGTACCCTCGAGACGCTAAGGAATAAATAAGCATTTTTGTGGTAAAACGTAATGTTTTCGAATCTGATTACGGTACTACTTACAAATAAGATTTCTGAAGAAGTTTTTGTGTGAAAATATTTTTGTGTGAATTTTTTTTTCTATGAAAAACAATGCTATTCAGATTCTGAGGTAAAATCGAAGCTATTTGGTAAACGTGCGAATGAACAAAGTTGATGAATAGTCTTAGGAATTGTTTTCGCTCGTCCTCAAATGTAGAAAAAAGAAAAGGAAACGATTAAGTATGTTGGAAAGAAGTTTAAATATCCAGCACTAATTGTTCAAGAAGTAAACTGGGTAGCTTTTCGTTACCTCCTCTAGGCCTTCCAGATGATGTTTCTGAGTTTCGGTCATTGAAAAGGATCCCTAAAATCGTAATTTAGGCGCTATAAATTGTCCAGGGCGTTATACGAAAATAGTTGGCTTACATTGAACTAAAATATTTCCCGTCCATGGAAAGGAAGCATTGTAATGTATAAAGGAACTAGGCTGCTGCAATTTTTACATCATATCTTCGCGGTGTACATATCGATTCTCTCAGAATATCAAGTGTAAACTGAATCTTATTTTCGCACAATGTTTTGTATTTCACCAAGTTCTCTTTGCAATGTGCTGCTTATGGCGTGGATTTCTTCAAGTCAGACCTTGGCTCAAAGTTTCAAAGGTAAGTGCCCAACAACACTTTAATTTGACAGGATGGTCTAAATTTTTGTGTTTAGCATGTAAGACTCTCTGTAATGTTTTATATCACAAACCATTATATTAAGTTTGTTTTTACGTTTGAAATTCATTTTTCCTTTTTTTTCAGTTATTCAGCCAGAAATGTTCTAGAATTTTTTTCTTTTTCGTCTAACCAACACCGTTTGCTTAACAGCTAATTGCGCTGAACTGTACGTGGCTGGCCAAAACATCAGCGGTATCTACAAAATTGACTCTGATGGTTTAGGTGTCTTTGATGTGTATTGTAACCAGACTGCGGCTGCTGGAGGATGGACAGTGATCCAAAGAAGACTGGACGGCTCTGTCAATTTTCATCGTAGCTGGTGTGACTATAAGCAAGGTTTCGGTGATTTGAGTGGCGAGTTTTGGCTAGGACTGGACAAAATAAACCGTCTTACTAGGAACACAACGAACCGGCTTCGAGTAGATCTGGAGTATAATCTCAATAGCATTATTCATCGTTCTCACGCCGAGTACGACTTGTTTTGCGTTAAATCGGAATTGGAAAATTATGCTTTGATTATTGGAGGGATGCCCGAATGTAAGTTATTCGTTAGTTCATAATTACTATGATTAATAGAAAACGAAATATCTGAGACAATTCATTAGCTTGATGTTTTGCATTGAAAAATATCCTCGACGAATTTTTATCGGAGTGTTACGCCACAGAAATGAGGAAATATTTCAAAGTAGTCTGGCACTTAGGGTTACTTTCAACATAATCTGATCGAAATTTTCAACTCCTTTTTTTTGTTTCTGTTTTTGTTTTGTTTTGTTCGTTTCTTCGTTTTTTTCAGGTTTTCTCTATTGTTATAGAAAGTATCTAAATTTGATATATTGAACAGTTATTTACAAAATCTTTCGTACGAATTTCAATGACCTTCTTTGTTTTATGATTCCCCATGAGTGTTAGGTTGCTTTTCAACAAATGGCGGGATGACCGCGTTAACATGCGGTTTAATGAAGTATAATACAATTGTATTATCGGAATCTGAAAACTCGAGATTTTTTTAAACCGAGTAATCTCTACCTAAACGAATAAACAGGGTTTTTAGTTTTGTCGGATTTTTATTAAAGTTGATCGAATGTTTGTCAGATATTGACGCGCAAAAGGGTGTGAGGCTTTACAAAATTCAAAATATTTTTCCTATGGCATCCCAGTGCGTGACGACAACCAAAATATTCTGTTTTGTCCATTTAAAAAAATATTTTCTCGGGAACCGATATGGAAATCAAAAAAGCCTCATACCCTTTTTGACCTATTTTGTTTTGATGTCCACGGTGAAACTGGCAATTCATTCAAGAAAACAACTTCAATTTTGTTTTAAAAGGCTCGCTTACTTCAGGAGACTTAGAAAATATTTTGTTTGCATTTGTCTTTGCGAGACAAATTCATAACGTTTTTATTTGAATTTCCGCTATGACAAGGCGTAAAAACGAAGGAAGAGGTTCAGGGCAGCTGAATGAATAACCACTAATATTGAAATCAACACCAAAAAGAACAACTTGTAATCTTGCGAAATTAACCTCTGGAGACTAAAGATCCACTCTGCATATGGCGGAAACTACCAATAATATTACTGGCTGTCCGCGTCATACGTTTTAAGGTAGCCCTGTATGACTGCATTAAGAAAGACAGTTCCAGAATAATTACCCTTTGGTCCTATTAATATTGTTGTTTTTCCTCTTTTTCTGACGGAAATACAGATGATTCTTTAAATAGAAATAACAAGGCTCCATTTTCAACAGTGGATAAAGACGTTTCCAAACAAAATTGCGCTCGTGACTTCGGGGCTTGGTGGTTTCCTACAGATAATACCTGCGGTAACTCGAGCCTGAATGGTAGATACAAACAGAAAAACGCTCTAAAGTGGGAAATATGGGAAAGCCATGAACCTGACTTATATTCAGAAAGCGAAATCGTCTGGTCTCTAAGTTGTCGGCAAAATTCATGATCTTTTCCTTGTTCTGGCTGATATCAGATATCTGCTGCGTACTAACGCCACGTTCAGCTCACAAATTAATCTAATCGCAAAATTATTGACTGTTTATCTTTTATCGAAAGAAGGGATCGCTTACGCTTCAAGGACATGTTGATCGTTGAATTCGTGACGCTATGTTACGGTGGCCCATAAGTGCACTCCAAATTCCAAACTAAACTCCCAATTCTAAACCTCACAGAGAATTCTTGAATCTCACTCCGAGTTCTTGAACCTCACTCCCAATTCTTGAACCTCACTTCCAATTCTTGAACCTCACTCCGAATTCTAAAAACTCACTCCGAATTCTTAAACTTCACTCCGAATTCTAAAAACACACTCCGAATTCTGAAGTTTAAGAATTCGGAGTGAGTTTTTAGAATTCGGAGTGAAGTTTAAGAATTCGGAGTGAGTATTTAAAATTCGGATTGAGGTTTAAGAATTGGGAGTAAGGTTCAAGAATTCAGAGTGAAGTTCAAGAATTCGGTGTGAGGTTAAGAACGGGGAGTGAAGTTTGGAATTCGAAGTGAACTTGTGGGCCACCGTATTCTCTCGCTAAAAAAAAAATTCACTTTTATTTTCTTGATAAAAAAATCAATTTATGTTGCTTGGCTTGCTGATTCGCAAGTTAAACTTCCATATAGGGTCGGGAACCGGAGCGAAGGCTCGAACGATATTTAATGACCGACTTAGCATAGGAATGTTTCAGCATTGAGTCAGCAAGAATAAATACATCATAGGCTCGGCTCATCATCTTCCGTCGCATTGACAAGGACATAGTATCAGAATAAAATGTTGATAACATGAGGCGTACGGGGAAGAATTCAAGGAACTCAAACATTTTCCGTAAAATCTTTGGCATCTAGACGCGAGACTGAGAAAAAATGATTAGAAGTCATCCTTACATTACGGGAAAAAAATACACGAAAATGATTGTAAGGGAAGTAGTCTAAAGTGATTAAGTGTCAAATCCTAATATCATTGACCATTTATCTGTGCTTTAGGGGCTGAAGTCTAGAATGAAATAATTTTGTAGAATACAGGATGATGTCGCCCTTATCATGGTTGTTACTAAAGACTAAACGTTTTTCCCTTTATTTTCTTCCTTTAGCTAATAATAATGTGGGATGTCTTTGAGGCAGACCCCGTAGGAATCCGGCAGGGTTTGTTTTTCATGGTAGTCACAAATTGCAAAATGGACCGGTGAGATTTCAAAGGGTGCCGTTGTTTACTTCAAGTCTCGGTAAAATCCACGCTTGACATACGAAGAGATCCTACATTTTTAATAAACCTTTTTTGGGCTTTTGTAGATATAACTCAGTCACTTTTTTCCAAGTGTTCGATCAACTGTGAACATCACTCAGTCAGAGTCTGTCATAAATAAACAGTACTGCGTAACTTTCCGTTATTGAAATATCACCTGGTTTGATATGGGGACTTACACGGTCACGAACTGTCATCTGTACGCACGTTTTTCATTCAGCCGTAAAAATAATTGGTACATATTTTATATTTGCTAAAATGTGGACACCACTCCAGTAACTAGTTTTATTACATGGCCGGATTAATCTGAGCCCTCTAATTAGTTATCACTCGGTCCGTATTTGCCCTACGGACTGTTTCCAAGGAAACGGTCATAAGCCGTGTATTTTTGGTCATGAAAGTTAACAAACCACTTAAATCCAAAATTCTTTAGTGCGGCCCTCGCGCTCGGTTAGTAAGAAGTTACTCTTCCCTTATTCGGTTGGTTGTAGTCATGGTACATTGCCCGTTGTAAGAAATAATTAGCTTGGCTTTTCCGTCCGTTGTTTGCTCTTATTTAGTCGGTTGTAATCACAATACTCTGTCCGTTGTTAAATTAATTAGCGTGGTTACTCTGTCCGTTGTTCGCTCTAATTTGATTCTAATCACAACACTCTGTCCGTTGAAACAAATTATTAGCTTGGTTACTCTGCAGGTTGGTGAAGAAAGAGTGACGATTGCTCTTATTCGGTCGGTTGTCAGAGTCAAGCTACTCTGTAAGATGTAAAGGCAGTAACTCCACGCCTCTCTGGCTTTCGGAGGAGACTCATGGATATCGCCTTGCTAATCTGTGAGAGGCAAAAAGTAACGAAAGAAGTAGACAAATAAATAAAACTCATCGAAACTATCGGTAGAATTTAAAAGAGATACAAAGCATATGATATATAAAGCGAAAAAAATTGTTTTTTGTTATCATGCGTCACCATTTTTTTTAATTTTGTTTCAAGCTAATAGATTTTCACGGGTTCGAGCGTCAAATTTGTTCTTGACGAGCCATCTTCATATACAGTGAAAAGAGCTTTTAAAAATACCGGTACCTTCACAAGACGTCGATCCAATAAAAATGCTCCAATTGCAAATACAAATGCAGATACTACGAAAGCGATCACAGTCAGCTGTAAAATTGGCAAGCCAGTCCTTTTGGTCAGCGTACGTGAATCAGATCTAGGATCTGAAAAAGGATAAAAATCTTTGTTCACATAGTTATGTATTCTAAAAAATATTCTTTTGAGGGAGTTTAAAAGTCGCTTCAGGTAAATGAAAATCAAGGAAACGGTTTCTTTTAAAATAACTCTCCTTCCTTCCAAAGTACAGGAATTTCCTTTTTTTTTTTTTTAGGACAGGGACCACAGTAAACCACGACGTGAATACTAAGGAGAACGAAGAGGAATAACTCATTTAAGGAGCAAAACTACGATTTTTGTGCGGGTTTCAAATTGTTGAACGTTTTCCTTGTAGCTCTTTTTAAATCACCGAGTTGAACGTCTTATCTCGAAATACTTCCCATGCCTGGCTAAAGGACCCTGATGGCGAGTCGTTAGGTTTTTTCAAGGACAAATGTACGCGCGTCTATGAAGGAAGTTTACTGAGGCCCTCATACACAATGAAGATGATTAAGCCAGACTCTGGTAGTGCCTAATACTGAAATGAAGCTACTTTGAATCAACAATGGCTGTCACGATTGCACCTATTGTTTCTGTAATTACTCTATTCTTTTTAGTCATGCATGTTTGGTTAAAACTTTTAAGATGGTGACCTCTGTGCCACCTAAAACCTAAATCCATCATTTAATTACCTAAATCATTCACATGTAAGTTGACCTCGATGGATGCCTTTTCTCCAGCTATATTACTTGCAACGCACTGATATTTGCCCCCATCTTCCTTCTTCACTTTTGCTATAAACAGTTGGTGGTGAATGGTTTGGTCTCGTCGAACTCGGGTGATCTTAGCCCTTAACCTGGATTGGACATCATATGAAACGTTGTGCTTCGTCCACCTTATATCGGACTGAGGGTGACCAGGGGGATGACCAGTAGTAATACAATTCAAAATTAAATCAGAGCCGATAACGATACTTAGGTTCCACCGATCCTTGGCCCTTTGATTGGATTGTCCATAATACGGATCATTGTCCCTCACGCATGAGATGTTTGGCTTGAGACGATCTTTGGCGGTGTAGGTAAAATTTACCGTAAAATCGTTAATAGTGCTTTGGTTCTTTGGATCTCTCACACTTTGAACGGGCTGGGGGTCTGAGGAATAAAAATGATGCATTCAGCATACAGCCTTTGTTGCCACAAAGGCTGTATGTTCAAAAACATCTTTGAAAAAAAAAAGAAGCAAGGAAGAAAAGCCTAGACTGGCCTAAGGGAATGAAAAGGCTGGAAACCTGCCTTCGCTATTCGGATTTTCAAGTGCACTTAGCAGGTGACAGATCAGCAGTTGTTTCTTCAATATGCTAAGGAGACTGTGACGTTCACAATTTGTGCATCTCATCATAATATAATTTGCCTTCAAGTCCTACCCCTTCTTTTAGTTCTGTGACGTTGAAGAAAATTTTATGAGGAGGAAAATTATTTCAATACGTAAAAATATCTATGATCCGCGTGTATCCTTCCTTTATGACCTCTTTTTTATGGGAAAAAAAGATAAAACTTTTAGGATGAATCATTATCATCTTTTGTAAAAAATAAATTATTTCCAAATGCAAAATGTAAATGCCTCTAACCTCTAGATTACACGAGTCGAGACGGGTTACAAGAGACTATTCGAGTGTCTCACGAAAGTTCACCATTTTGAAAACCGTGAGGGGTTTGAGGAAAGGTTTACAGACTTCACGAAACCGTAACATAGCGCTCACGGCCCTCCTAGAAGGAAGGCTCAAACTCCAACAACATATTATGATGGAATTCTAATAGGGTTGTTTTTCTTGTGTCCCTTTTTTCACTGGGCCAGTCATCACTCGAGCGTTCTTTTCTATTTTACATTCCTCTCATGTTGCATACCTCGCGGACGAATTTCGACTGATTTTCTTCTGCAATGTGCACGATAACCATTTCCTGCTTCACACGTGTAGCTACCGAGTTGCTCTTCCGTCAAATTTTTTAACATCAACGTACATATATGTTTTAACTCCATTTGTCTACCCTGTACACATCTGTGTCCAACTGGCTTGTCCTGTGGACCGTACCACTGAATATACTCGGTCCATCTATCGTAATACCCTGCATCAATACTCCTGGGCTGTGCCATACAAGTCAGGTTAACCGCTGTACCTACAGATAGTTCTTGCCTTGGTGGACTTGTGGAAATCTGTACATCAGGTATTACTGGAGGAGGGGGGAAGATAAAACCATTCAGACATCCCATGGCATATAACAAAAATTGTCAGCGGCCATTCTTAACTCAAAAAGATGAAATACTTGTCCTAGCAAAACCAATAATACCTCTGCTACTTACTAGTCAGTTTAGAGTTGCAGTTCATGCCCGTGGCTCCAGGGAGATTTATCAAACCACTCATGACTATGAGGACCACCAGAAAAGCTTCAGAAGTGTCATCTCGCCACGAATTAAGTCCCATTATAACACGCTAACAAGTACCTGCGAGTCTTGCCTAAATGGCCTGAAATGAAGACTTTCTGCTTAATACTGGAAAATGTACTATTCTGACATGATTATGGTGAGCTTACTTGGTTATAGTGAGTTCACTTTATTTACTCAGTGCTTCAAGAATGTTATGCCGGAAAATTGCAATTTTGTCTTTTTGGTCTATTTTCAAGTAATGGTTTTTCTGGTCGCTATTGTTGGACTCTTGGCAGAAAGTTCCCAAAAGTACAAGCTCAATTCATCGATTGTTTTTGATGCAGACTGTTAATAGTTATCTCTGGGTCAATCAATCAATCTTTAATTACATGTCTTAAGAATTAAGCTTCTAAAATTCATTAATTATTCATAAGGTGATCATCTAACCAAGTCACGCCAATTTCGTCACGTGCATGAGGTTTGAAACCCCGGTGAAGTACTGGAATGACGCGCTATCCATGAGTTTCATATAATATCAAACCCTTGTGTTGGATAAAGCATCAAACACTGGTGAACGGATTTCTTAATTTGAATATTAATACTACAAACTTGCCGACAACATGTGAAAAATTTCCTTTCATTCCTGAGGCGCGATCGAGAAGCTATTTCAAAAACTCGTGCATAGGGTTTCATCAGGGTTTCCAAACACTTGAAACAGTGAAAGCACGGGGCCTGCGGCCTCGTGCTTTCATCAGTTTTCTCGTAGCGGCAGAGAAGTTCTATATTTTTTGGTGACTCTGGTCAGTTCAGCTTTGCTCCCCAAAGGCTCACCAGAATTTAATCAAAGACCTAGACAAAACGGGGAGACAAATCTAGCGCTCCTCTTATCAGTACTGCATACATTATGATAGATAGCCAGCTGACTAGGAAGTGATCCTCGATAAAGTTAATAAACTCAATGTTTTCCCGGACAAGTACTGACAGCCTTGTCAGTTTGTAATTAGCTTCGATGCCGATTTTTCTCAGAAATCTCGTTTTTACTTAAGAGAGGGGTATCAGTCGGCTATAAATATACCACATATGCCATTTCGAAAAATTTGGCATGCCTCCATTTTCATAGATTCCATGTTAGGTCTCATACTACAGACTAACAAACAAAATACGAACTTGACATATAACTGACGAGTCACTAATGCAAAAATAGAAACAACTTAGAGCTGGACTAGAGGGATTATTTTTGTCAGCTCTGTAATGTATTGGATTCATGGTTAGTGTGGAGAAGGCACTTACCTTGACTGTCCTTCGAATTCCGGGAATGTAATGTCGAAACAGCTTTGAAATAATGGTTTTATAATCCAACCTGCATAGCATAGCATTTTCGAAACGTAGGAGTGGAACTTTCCAGAACATTTTTGTTATTTTGTCATGTATTCCCGTGATGAAATAAGGACTTTTTTTTTTCAGCACTTACTACACAGATTGTAACCCAATGCTCCTGTCGTGTTTATTACTAACAAATCGTAGGTTTTCTTTCACTCATTTGCACGTCAGACATTCTATGATTTCTATCTATTTTTGGTGAGGGATGACTATGTTAGATTGGTCAGATATTTTTCTCTCATTTGATTATCGTCATTACGTTGGTGTTGGGAAATCTTGAATTTCCAACGACACCCACACTTGTCGAATAAAAGATTGCTAAAACTTACTGAAATGCTCTGAATCGACATCATCTCTATAGTTAAGTATTGACAAACAATGTTTTACAACGTTTTGGTTATTCCTGCTTTTAAAGATTACCCATTTTAAAGATTCCTGCTTCTAAAGATTCCCATTTTAAAGATTCGCGCTTCTAAGGATTCCCCGCTTTTAAAGATTCCCCATTTTAAAGATTCCTCATTGCCCATTGCCCATTGCCTATTCCCCCATTCCCCGTGCCTTGTTTAAAAGATAGCCGAGCTCCCTACTAACGAGAATATAGTTAAGTACTGATGAAAATCAGGACGACTTTTACTACTTAATCACGTTGGGGCCGTGAAAAAATATATGACGGTTCACTTCTTTGGAAAAGGACAGCTTATGAGAGACTTGCCCACATGATCGAAAGGCATGCCAAAGACTATTTGTAGGATCGCACTTAACTGGCCCTTATCTTATTTATTGATAGAAATCGACTGGATTTTTCATTGACCCTTAAGAAGACGCTGGGTTCAACCGAAAAGTTATTTGTCAAAATAATCAACCAAACATAACTAACATTTTTGTGCCTTAAGATACGTTCGGGTCTATACTAGAAAGAAATGAAAATATCGACATTACGTGGATCTTTAACATGGCACAGAACAGATTGAGGACCCCGATATCAAATCATCTTAGAGATTTATAATGATAATTAGTTGTTTGATATGATACGTGAAACAGATTTGAACTGATCTTGGCGACTCACGAGGGCACTTATAACTAACTCGAGAAATTTCTTTTTACGCTATCGTTTCGCAGTAGAATAACGCAACCTTTGCTCTGGCATCCTCGGAATGCAATTACAGTTTATCATAGGTCCTGATAGCTGCACACGTGAGCGACAAATTCCCTTCACTTTGCACGCGTGAGTTAGAGTTCAGATAATTTAGCAGATGTTTTAATTTTTTCATGAGAAATTTTCAAATCTGAGGGAACTCATTCACACCTCATTTAAAAAATTTAAAACATTTGTTTTAAAAGAGGCCTCCAAGAGACGGAAGTGTCTCGGTTGAGTGCCGTCCGCATTAAGCTTGCTTTTCGTCGAGGGTCGAGGATTCCGCTTCGAACACATTGCTCGAAATTATCAGAAAACAGCTTTCCTGTAATAAACTCTCGGTCTCTTTTTTTTCCTCTAGTCTCTGTTGCCTGTACATGTTTTCGCTGCATACTTGTCATATTTTTGTTTATGACCGTGGCCTGTGTATGTAGTTCTCCGGGTATTCCCACGGACTCTCGCCAATGCTGAGCGTAAGATTTAGCAAATTAAATTTAGGAAGACACTTAAATTATTATTTTAGAAGCATGCAGACTCCATATATGCCGTTTTTAATACCTCCCAAAAAAACCAATAGTTTTAGTTCTGTAAACGACGGCTGACAACCATCGAAACTCAACTATAGGAAAGACACCAAAGCCCAGTTCAAACGGTCATGACATCACTCGCGTTTGACTACAAACTATCGAGTACTATCATTGGCTATCATCAACTATCATGTAGTTGCTGGCAAAAGGCAGCTGCGTAGAACACCACTCGGTGGGGCCTCCATTTGTGTAGAAAAGCAAAGAGAATTAACCTTACGAAAAGAAAGAGTGCGATGCTTTTATGAAACGAAACGGTAAGACATTTTGCAAACCCAGCACTAGAGCACGTCGACTTAAAAGACACACATATGACTCAACAGTGGAGGATCGAAAACTGGAATCGGTGATATTTTCAATAACAATCATAGCTTAGTATTTAGGTGCCAGTTTGACACTCGAATGACAAAACATTAAAGAAACGCTACGGCCCATCGAAAAATTTTTGACATAAAAATAGTGAGTCGAAAAACCGCTCAAAATAATTTGTATGACCAGTAAAAACTTCATCAATCAATAGCAGTTACTAATGCATCAACCTCCCACCCCTCCGTGCGTTCTAATCACCACCCCTCCCTTAGTAACAACAGTCTGCCTACCACCCCTCCCTGACTTCTGATAGAATGCATTCCACCCCTTCCTAAGTACTAATGGTCTGTCTTCCCCCCCCCCTTGATAAAATGGTCCGAAAATAGTCCAAAAAAAGGTCCAAAATATGGTAAAAAAAATGGTCCATAAAATAGTCCAAACAAAGAGTCCAGTAGTCCAGTGGTCCAAGTTACCCTATGCTCATTAGCTATAACGCTCGCATTCAAATGCTTTATGAAAGTTAATGATAGTCGACAAAATCACTCTATGAGATTGCGTTACTGTACACAAATATGGCGCGCTCTGAAGTTAGAGAAAAAATATGGTTCACTAACATCCGCTCGTTCAAACGGCTAAGACTGTCATCATCTATCTCGCCTTTTCTAACGGGGCTTAAGAGACTTTTTACGGTGGCCATCTACATTATCAACTCGATTAATAAAACCAAATTATCTTGTCATACATCCCCACCGACGCAGGACCACAGGTTCCTTAGAACTTTACCACCTTTATTCAACTAAGCTCAAGCAGACCTGCGAGCCAGCAAATTTAATTGAACCTTAAATCGACTTAAGTTACATTAGCTTAGGTTTTATCATTTTAGAATAGCTTCCAAATCCTTTTAACAACCTTAACTGAATTTCAGACTTGAAAAAATTTTGTGAACTTCGGAAAATAATGGAAAGAAACTGTGTGATTAGAAGTAAATAAGAAGTCAGACATCCAAGAACATCATAGAAAGACTCAAATCTGACGTAGGACCACCAGACAAGGTATTCTTAAGCTACTCGAATGACATCTCTTTCCTCGATTCATATCCCTTATTTTCGTCGGTGAAAATCTTCCCGGTGCCTACATAATGTTGTGAAGTTATTTGTCCAGGGACCAGATTGAGCCCTCAGTGAGTGTTACGCCCAGTTATCACCTCATATTCGGCGTGCCTTCGTAAAATAACTGCTAAACACTAATGAAGGTACTTATTTATCCACGAAAAATTACAGTCTAGCTGATGTGGTCGTGTCTTAGTCAAGTCTAAGAGGTAAAAAGTAATAGAAAATTACCGTCGGGATTGAAACTACAAATACATGATTAAAACAAGAAATTGATGATTGAATCTATCTACATCCAATACTAATAATACCCACATTTAAATACTAAATAATATACATGAAAAAATTACTCAGTTCTGATTGGTTAAGATAAATGCAGTTTTCAGGTAATTCAATGCAGAGGAGGGTTAATTCAGTGCAAAGAAAGTAACAAACCAATAATCAGAGATACTCACTGATAGCTAATCAAATGCGAGCCTTGGATGACGCAACATTTGGCTACGTTGGAAATTTACGAGCGAAACAATGGTCGGCGATTTAAGTAGATTTTCTTTCGCCACTGCTGAAAAACAGCTTTAACAACGAAAACACTACAAAAAGCACTGCTTTTTGGTTGTCGGTTTGGAAAAAGCGGTGTTTAGAGAAGGGAATTGCCAAGGAAATCAAAATTACGAGCCGATCCAGCTCGAGTGATTCTACGCCAAAATTAAAAAAAAAAAACATGATTAAACCTTGCAAACGACGATTCCATTCCATCGAAAGTGATTCGGACACAGACTGAATAATTCATTGGACTGTTTAGCTGGATCTTGAACATTTTTGCGCCTTATAGATGTGAAAATATCATTGTATGTAACTGTTTTGATCGTGCGCGGCTGTTTTGACCGAATGCACAGGCTTGAATAATTATTCTTGCACTTGATGCGCGCGCTTTGCTTCTGCATAATTATAATAAGCTATCTCGTATTTTTTCATGTATATTATTAATACATAATCACATGACTTTTCTCGTGAAGTTTGGAATTAATAAGCAAATGTTAATTTTTTCAAAGACCACAAATTGCACTCGCCCTACGGGCTCATGCAATTTTGTTAGTCCTTGAAAATATTTACTCGTGTTTATTTATTCAAAACTGCACTCGAAATCATTTGATTACCTACACTAGTTAAAATACTAATACTGTGGCCAATGTGCATCGTTTATAATTCGTTCCATCAATGTTCCATGTCACCCAAACGATTCCCCACTGCACACAGCCGGAGCTTTTCGTCGACCCTTTCCGCGTTCTTTGCTCAGAGCGACAAGGACCCTTCAGTATCCTGCGCAATTACGACTGTTGGGTATCTGCCATTGCTCATATGGACCCTAACGACGTTTCGCTGTCCCTCCGACTGACGTTTATCAAATGAGAAAAGACAAATTACCGATGAGGAACTTCAGAACAGTGTTAATGTATCGTTTTTCAGTGCCTTGGGATTTTTTTAGTTCTTATAGGTATGCTCAACAAAAGGAAATATATTTCCAGCAAAATCGTTGCTTCCAAATCCAAATTGAAAATTATTACAGTTTAATTCCAAAAGCCTTCGTTTCCATCTGTCCACTCAAGAATTGCAACGTTTTATAAACAATTGGGTTATCAATTTCACTTTGAGGCCAGTTTGAAAGTGGCCGTTTCATTCGCGTTTCCGAGTTTTTTAGTGTAGATGACGGGCAAAAGTGAGTCAAAACGAATACTTTGTCGAACGAAAACGCACTATGGATGCATCGTTAAAGAATTGAAGATAATGGAACCTGGACGCGAAGATTGGATATTTTTGCTACATTCATGTTTCCTAGATGAAAAAGAATAAGTAAACGTGAACGGAAAAACAAACCACACACAAAAAACCCTAAAACCACAAATATTCACCTTTTTGCCACCTTTAAATCGCCTGTACCACAAAAGCCCCAAAATACTATTGATAAGCAAGGTTGCCACCACACAAGATGCAGCGATTGCTATCGCAATCTGAGTAGTTGAGCTTTCTTGTAGTCTTGTTTCTGTAATTTCTGTGAGATAAGATGAAAAATCAAACTAAAACTGAAAAGACTTTGATGGCTGACATCTTTCGTCGTACTGATTAAAAAAGGACCGTACGCAGTCCAATTAGGTTTGTGATCATACGAGTGACTAACCAAATTGGACGACCGTGAAATGCAAGTCCGATTTGCCAATCACGATTATGATTACTGATCGCACTGGATGAGATGACATCGTGTTATCAATATCACTTTGATAGTCAATTACAACGTGCATGCGTAAAGAATATCGAGGCAAGGTGATCACAAGAATATATTTAAGTCTTGCTGACTCAGTCCCACCGTGTGAGCTGTAGGGAAAGAAGTTTGAAAATGTTAACTGACAGTGTTTTGAACGGGAGTTTATACGTTTTATTACACGCCCTGTATTTAAATTTTAGCGAGATCAATAATATTTTTCGAAAGGAATATTCAAACTGTTCCTATAATTTCAAGAACTTGCCTTCCTTTGCGTGTAAAGAGGCCAATTTTGACTTTCCCTTTCCAGATGTTCGGCATTGATGTGTGCCTCCATCTTCGTTCGTCCTCTCGTTGATAAGCTTTATGCTTAGTATGCTATGGCATTTTGTGGCATCTGAAGTTGCAATGAACTTTACCATTGAATTAGTTTTTGAAACATTTGAATCATTGCTCTTGTTTGGCTTGGAATGACAAGTGGCAGTGAGGCTGAAAATTCCGTTGGAATCAACTGAATTATTTTGGGTTTTTGGGTCTTCCCGCTTTTCTGTAATTGAAACGAAAAAAATCATTATTAAAAGGTGAGAAGAAATGGATGCTATGTTTAGAAAGGATCTGTAATAGTAGGGCAAGCGGAGCAAATGTGACGCTCTCTCCATTCGCGTTGACTCAAGAGGCATAACCTTAGTAGTAATCATAGTAACCAGAATAACCACAAAACATGTTTATTCTGGTGAAGCGACACTACGAGGGAACCTCAATAGAAAGGAGTAGTGTTGTAAAAAGTGGGAAATCCGAAACGTACGTGGGTCCAAAAGAATGATTTTACCGAAAAGGCAGAAAAAGGTAAACTGAATAGAAAATGAAAATCAGCGCACAGTCTTAGTATTTAGCTGTAAATTATTTCGATAACATTCCTTTTCGCGGTCAAACTTCTCCTCTTCGACACAAAAACTCCTTAGCCGATGAAGCTGCTTAAAGAGTAAGTCGCTTACTCCAGATCAGATATTGAAAGTGGTTTCTAATCTATGTCATAAAAGCGCAAGTAAAGTCGGAAAGTTGCTTAGCTAGGGGAGAGGATTTCCCAGCAGGGTTAAACTGACCTACTTAGGACCTAATATCTCGTACAGAACGCTCTACTGTTGGTAAATAGTTCAAAGTTGTGAGGAGTCGTAAATGGAAAGTTTTTCTTCTCACCTTTCAGGCTTAAGAAGGCCGATAATGATACCTTTTTACCAACGCTGTTAATTGCCACGCATTTATATCCGCCAAAATCTTCCTTCTTCACTTTCGTTATGGAGAGCTCACTGTGGATGCTTTTCTTATCCTTTGTACTTGAGTTGGATTGCAAGGTATGAAAATCATCGTTCTTGATCCATGAGATGCTTGGCTTTGGAAGACCAGTAGCATTGCAATCGAAAGTGACATTGGAATCTATGTAAACACTTTGATTCCTTGGAACCTCCAAAAAAACTGGTGCAGAACCTGGAGGAAAAGTGTGCACTTGTATAAACACAATCAACTCCCTCGTTAGGGGACACCCTCGGGAATTGGAAAAAGTGCCCGCTAATAGAATTGTCTGCCTCCGACAGCTTGCTTTCCCGCGGACGAAGCGTAAACAAAAAAATCATATTTTCAATTTCAAAAGTGTCTGCGTCCGTCTACGAGAAACTGGGAGGCCAAAAAAGGAATTAGAAAAAGTGTCCGTAAGTAGAAACATCCGCTTATAAGAGTGGCCGATGGCGGGAAGTTGACTGTTTACACTTTTTTTCATCGAGATGTAAGGTTCATTGTGATTTGAGAGAGACCCAATGCACAATACCCACCTTTCCCAAACAACAGCGTAGGGTGTTTACCGTCACGCATTATTTAAGTAAAAAAACAAACAAATAAACAAAAAAGGAACTAAAAAAGACAAATTCATAAACTAGTTATGATGAAAATACTTACCTATTGCAAATGATTGCCTTGTGCAGTGTTTACTATAACGATTGCCCGCTTGGCAAATATAGTGGCCAAATTCGTCTTCTGTCAGATTTTTAAACACCAATGGGCAGCTGAGTTTTCGTTCATATGCAAGTATGTTTGAAGGCTGCTGGCATTTTGCTCCAACTTCTGTGCCATTTGGGTTGTACCACTGAATATACTTGACCCATCTATCCATATAACCTGCATCTATAGCTCTCGGCTCCGCTTTACAAGTCAGAGTTATGGAGGCACCAACGGCTAAACTGACATTTTCTGGACTTGAAGAGATGTCGACAACGGGTCTTACTGTACAAGAGAGAAAACTAGTTGGTTAAAAAAATATTAATAAAATTTGGTTCTCTATCTCTATTCCAACCGAGGAGGACAAAGATGAGAAAAAAAAAGTTGAAAAGGATAGGCCATACTCTTCGTACCACGGGGTTTCACTACTTACTTCTGATTTTGGAATTGCACGTTTCGCTGCTGACAAACGGAGGATTCCATAAAGTGCCAGCAAGAGTCAATAGTAATATCCACTTTGTTGCTTCTCCCAGCCAAAAGTCACCCATCATCGTGAACTGTTGAGAAATGTCTCGAGGTGTATCCGGAGGCCTGCAAATGGGATTGTCAATTGGAAAAAAGATATGAAATATTCACAAGGAGCAGGATTAGTTTAACAGGGTAGGAACAGCCACCTTAAGAAAATGCTTTTCTAACTACATTTAAAAGTTTTTTTTTTTGACAGGACCTTACATAGAAATAAGGAAAATAACTCCTTTAAATTGTTCAATTGTTGAGATGAGGGCGAACAAGTAGGGGACGGACAAAAAATTTGACGAAACCCATTATTGTGGGGTGTCTATTTACTACGATGAGTTTTAACTCATTAATATGGTCTATCATAAAAATTTCTCTTTTTTCGTTAATTTCTGTAATTTTCTGTGGTGCCACTTTTTCTTTTTTTTAAATTGACTGCACCAAATTGCAATAAAATCTCAACTTCCCTTGGTTTACCAGTTGCCTGATAGTTAACAAGTGTTTAGTCAAATGAATTCCACCATATCGGAGAACATGCAAAGGTTCTAGCTTTGGAAATAATTGCCAACAACAGTTCCACGCATTCTTCGTGTTTCTATGATATCATTTCTACAAACTCTCTCTCTTTCTTTCCCTTTAATTCTCGTATTCTACAAACTCTCTATCGCATTTCCCTTTTATTCTCATATTCTAAAATACAGTGCCTCTCTGTGGCAACTTTCTGATTGTTTTCAATTTCGATTTGTTCCGAAAAACTGAGGAAAAGACGCAGACACTGCCGTGATATCGCTGCTTCAGATATCACCTAGTATCATTATTGATTCTTTCATTCTTCACTAATTTTAAACGCTGAAGGTTTAAGAGTGAATGTCCCTAAAAATCAAAGAAAAATAAAAAAATCGCGGACATGGTCAAAAGATCGTTTCGTCCCATTTTTTGTCTACAGGTAGCTATAGGTACTACTTAAAGTGAAGTGAGGCTAGTTTGTGTAAATATTCATTTTAACGGAAATAAACCGTTACTAATTGCGTGGTCAAAAATGAGTGCATGCGAGCTCTAAATTATGCAGTTTTCAGGCGGTCCTTGCATGAACTAAAATGCAACAGCAGGACATCTCTAGCTATAAATATATACATGTGGTCTTCCATTACCAAGATATAGTGATATTTTTGGTATCGTGTCCTTCCTGATGAAACCACGGGTTAATTACCAGTGGACGTGTTCGTCATTTTTAATTCATGCCAAACCCGGCCTAATGTAGTGTGGCAAAAATGCATGTGGTGGTCTCTCAAAATCTCCAGCAATGCAATCACGAGGGCTTATAAAGTGGTCTTCAAATACATCGTTTCATTTTTCTAGTATCTTCTGCTGTTTTGATATACCAACCAACCAAACTTCGCTAAAATTGTAAATGGCGCCATATTGAAATGAATAAAATCAACATTGCTATGACACAAGCAAAGCATTGTTTGAGTCGCAGCCGCACCTAGCTTTTTATGTTTGCTTTGACATCAATAGTTCCTTACCTTAGAAATCTTTTATAGGCCCTTGCTATTCCGCTTGGAATATATTTTCGAAATACTGTCCTTTGCAATTTGGTGTAAAGGGGGCCGACCGGCTAACTCAATGAAGCCACTGAGCCGGAATGAGTTAAATAAAGTTACTTCTTGTTGTCATTTTCTACAGCGTGTCGCAGCCCAGTTACGTTTAGTCTACTTTGATCCTAATTTTGATTTCTTCGACGTCCCACACAAAAAGGGTCCCGTACAAAACGGCAGGTAACGCTAGGGATTTGCCGGATTTTAATTTTTCATAGGTTCCTGTCACTCTGCGTGATATATGATAATCTGTCACGTAACGAGATCAACAAACAATTCATTTTGCCTCACATATAAAAATCTGAACAAATATATTGCCATCATGAACGAAAACGATACAACAAAGAAATAGAAACAAATATAAAACCGTACAGTGAAAACCTTATGGAACGCAAATAACGATACAATTTTCCCACGGAAAACAAATGTGATCAGTTAACGAAAGTAAACAAAAAACAAAAGCGTAATAATCGTCGGTGAAAAGAATAAAGACAACGGTTGCTTTAACTCCAACAGAAAAAGAATGTGTTGAACTTTACTTGATACTGTAGGTGGCGTTTGTGGTGTAGAGGAAGTCACAAGCGTCTTTTACAATTTTCAGGTGTTGAGGCAGAGATTGAACTTATCTCAGCAAGAAGCGGGATTTTCGTGAAGCCCGTCAATTTTTCGGAAATGATTGTTTGCCCATTATATCGACCAAGCCTTGGAATCGGATGGAGAAGAGCAAGTAGATTATGTTCTGTGCCACAGGATGTTTCTTGTCACAAAAAGGAATCTAAAGAAGTACCCGCAGCAGAAAGGGGAATCACTTTGCAGCACTCACTACAAATTTTTGAACTTACGAAAAACCTCGTACCCGTCGGATCAGGTAAGCGATCACAATAAGTCATGATCTTGTAAGAATTGACGTCCCTCTAGTTTATTCTCATTTAGTTGTATATAAGGAGGGTACTTAGCGGGAATCACAGACTTCATATCCTAACTTCAAATCTCTTCACTGTCGCGTAAAACAATGCCAAGTTTAACAGCAAAATTATTTTCATGTCTTTTCAGGATTTTTGCAAATATTTTTACTCAGGAAAACACTGGCGTTCTCTCAACATTTTCGTCTCTTTCAAAACTTATTCAAAACCAGTGATGGGCTCCTGTCAAAACTAATTAATGGCATAGGGAACGCTCGAATTTAAATATTCACAGATCTTAGAATTCCTTCTAACAATGTGGGGAAAAAGGAAAGGAACGAAGGAAATACTGACTTGTGACAAGGTTAACTACAGAATGCGTCACCAATTTGGGGTTTGTGGTGCTTTTGCCTGGGCTAGTTTTGTTCTTTCGAAGGAGTCATGAAGCAGCCCGAAAAATTGGAAATCCTAGACTCGCCATCGCAGAATCCAAGTGGCGCACTGACGTTCAAGATTGTGAGACACCGACATATCAAGGAAAGCTCTGTCAAAGCAGATTTCTCAACTGAAAGCGAAAACCAAGATCGAAGCTGCATTGGGGAATATAAGCCAGATGCCATGCTTTTCCCGTGTCCAAAAGAAGGATCTGTAAAAGAATACAGTCGCTTTGCAAACCTCCAGACACACCTAGATACTGGAAAACACCAAATGATGCTCGAACGGGAAACTCTCTACGATAAAGCTAAAAGAGAATATTCTTCCAAGCTGACGGAGGGACGCAGTCGAATACCAAGCGTTCAAGTTGCTGCACAATCAAAGAGTGACGGCTTGCCGCCTCTTCCAATGGGTTGGGCCCTGAAGACAATTAAGAAAAAGGTGCGTTTTACAAAGAAACAGACCGAATTCTTAACTGACCATTTCAAAAGGGGAGTATAGTGGACGGAAAAGCGATCAACAGGAAGATTCGAAAACCATGAGCCTAGCAAGAGACCAAGCGGAGGGATGCCGATTTCAACCTGATGAAGTCCTTACGTCGCAGCAGATTAGTGGCTTCTTCACCCGTCTTTCAGCAAAGAAGCGATTAAAAGTTACAGCCGCCGGTAACGAAGCAAAAGCTAGTGAAGTATCAGAAGTGGACATGGAGAGCGTCGACGAGGACGAAATTTCTGCCGAAGCTGAGAGTCATCTATCTGCAGTGTGTACAAATGTGGTGAGAGATGTGGCTATTCAACATCCGATTGTATCTTTCGATCTAAACATCTGCGAACTTGTGTAAAAACGTATACTCACAACTTTCAGAGTGGATAGGTTAAGAGACATGTGCATCGACCTTGGGCTGGATACTTCTGACATTTCACCTCAGAAGAAGAGAAAGCCATTCATCGCACGACTCACATAATTGGTCCAGGAGTGTACCTGCTCTTCCAAGTATCTGAGCACTGAGCATTTTACGAATAACTGATCCGCTGATTATAAAAGCGGTGCGTGCATTATTTACAAGAGGGCGTTGCGTGACAGCAAAGTCCTACATATCGGATTTCAGTCACTCAAGCTCACCACTGATTCTGAAACCTCCTTATCTTTGTGTTGGACGATTTTCAGTATATTAGAAACTGGCGAGTGCAGAAGGCGCAGAAGGGATGCAAATGCTCGAATCCATGTTCACCAAGTGAGATGTAAACGTAAACTAACGGCTTTATGGCAAATTTAACCTGTTGAGTGCAATTCAATTGTTTAACCTGTTTTGAGCAGAATTATGGCGTGATTCTTAGGGTAGCAAAAGTCGAAAATTATTTCTCCTGTCTCCGTAAAAATCAATTGTAGTTATATACATTTTAAAATGTTTTTGTCATTTTAACGGCCAGTGGAGATATAACTGACCAAAACAGTTATTTGTGTACAACGCGTTTAATTTTGTGATTATTCATCTCATTATGGCGTCATAGTAATTTAACTGAAATTCGGCTGGTGGTCATCTTTTGATAGTCAAAGGTCCCAAAGAAATGAAATCCAACCCCATTGTAAAGAACTATCTTTCAAGGCTTCTTGGTAGCGTTATTGTAAACTTTGAGACACCAACACAGGTATTTTTGCCAAGCTATTCTAGGCCACCTTTGCCTTAATTTCAAAAGGCCGAAGATGTCGTCTCTTAATAGGGACGTAGCTCCAAGAATAACATGAGACAAAAACTATCACTTTGTGTCGATAATACAAGTCCAACTCAATATTTCTATAACTAGGAAAGTCCTTCCATTACATTTTTGTTAGCATGACAAGTGCCCGAAAAGTGCATAATTTCAGGGTCGCGCTTGGTGAAATTTGAGCTATTTACCCCCGGAAATGTTAAAACAAATTATTACCGTTAAAGTGCATATTTCAAAAATCTAACCCCATTTCCGTTTGTTCACTAGATAAGGCTACCCACAGGCAAAAAATGAACCAAATCGATATTTGACATTTACTCTTAAGATGTTAGTTAAATTGTAAAATAAATGGCCGCTAGAGAAAAATCTTATCATTTTTGACTAACTACGTATCCAAGGAATTTAAAAGAAAGAAATAGTTTCTTTTAGCATTGTTTGGTAACACTTGTAAAGATATGTTTCTAGAATTTCTAGTATGCACAGTCATGCTGACATACAAGAGATACAATAAGAGTACGTTAACTTTAAAATGAAAAAAAAATTAAAAAAAGATAAAAAAATCTAACTTTAGTGACGGCTTGAACAAATATGGAAGCTATATCATGCAGGTAGTCCGCATAACCTTGGTAACTAAACGTTTGCAACTAATTGCTATGATTTCGGATGGCTACGTGATTAATATTGGCTGAGCGTATATATTTTTTGGCTTACTTGTAGAACGATTCACACTGTCATTTACATTTAATTACTAGTAGTAATCGGAGATTAGGGAAGTGCGTTCGGCATTGCAAAGGGGAAATAACTTACCGACCAAACAGCAATAAACGGGCAATAAAGCTTGAACCTTCACCAACGAACAACCACGTCCTCGAACGTCCGACAAACTGCGATGCACGAGGCAGCATCCTTTGCGCAACGAAATTGTGACGTCATTCAAAATGGCGCTGAAAAGATGAACGGCCGGCCGATCGAACGAAAAAACACGGGTCAGCTTTCGCTTGCGCGCACAGGACACCTACGCGATCACAGGTAGCCCAGGAGATAGGAAGCGTTCTTCCTTCGTCGAACGCAACAACTAGCATAAAAGAAATTTCGAAAACGTCATTCTAGGAAGAGGGAAATTTTGCTTCCCGTCGAATTTAAAAAGGCACCGGCTAAACATTATGGGCCTTGAGCAGTTAGGATGGCAACGCCAAGGAAGACGCCGATTGACAACTGAATACATATATTTAGTTGGAATTTCGCGCCTGACTGGATGTATTTACCATCTCTTAAGGCACCACAAGTTAACCTCAGCATAACGTATGAGAGCGGCGTTGAGTTCCAAATGGAATCTTAAATAATTTGCCGTCGGCGTTTCCTTTCTCGGACCACCCAAATTTTAATGATTTTAATGCTATTTTGCGCACACGCTAAGCTATTTTTCTGCTCGTTAAATCTTTTGTTTTGCCACGTTCTCGTTGCCATCGCCGTGGTGGACCTATATTTTACCTACGAATCCCACGATACTCAAAAGTCTTCAATTTGTTTGTTACAGTAAAATCTATCTCGACACTGAATATGTAACACAGCCTTAAATTAGAAACAGAAATTCAAAACAATTGGCCGTCGTCCTTCACGTTCCCCAGACAACGCAAAGTTTGATCCTTTCATGTTGTTACAAAGGACGCAAAGAAATTTACAAAGGTTTATGCACGCGCGCTCATCAAACCTCTTGTTTAGTGACGTTCCCATTGCCGTTTCCGTTGTGGTTTCCTTAAACTCCCAATTTTTCACCTCTTACTGACGCACAACGGTAATGATAGGTGTCACGGAATATTGATTTTGGCGAAACCGGGGCCTAGAAAATCAAGTCAATCATAGGCATTTGCTCCATGTTTATTTGAATCAAATAAACCTCAAATTTGCACTTTTTCTGAAATGCACTTGAATTTCGGTGCCAAATTATTTTCTCTCCCCCGTTGATGAAGGTTGTGGTCTTGGCCAAGCATTTGAATGAGTTATTTGGTACTTTTTAATCGTACATTTTGCGGAATACAATTCAAAATGCTTTAATGACGAATTTCAATAAATGGAACAGAGAGGTTTCTATGACATTTCTTAGTCTCCAGCATTGTATTAATTGAAACCAGGATTTATATTAGACCGTTCCCTACTTAAAGAGTATGAGATAATTTGCTGGGTACATTTACAACGATGAGATGACTTTTTTTTTCGAATGAGAACTCCGCCAACTGTTTATTGGTCATAACTTCCTTCGACTTTCCTATTTAATTTTTCTTTAAAGAATATGAGTTGGCAGGAAATGATATGTGGCTCTTTTCAGTTAAAAAAAAACTAACCCTTTGATAAATTAAATCGTGGAAATTGCAAATTTACAACCGTCAGAAATTATTGGCAGTCCACATTTTTACATTATGCGTTGTAGCTCGATGTTATCAAATTTTCAGCTTCCATTTTCGAAATTCAAGTTCAGGAATCGATAAACTAAATCTTGTTCAGTTGGTGATGACATAAAATGAGAAATAAGTGATTTTCATGCGATTAAGAGCTGATTGTGTATAATTTTACAACTTTTAACTTACAATTTAAATTTAGGAGTTTTAAGTTCTTTTTCATCTTTTACATTTAAGATTTGAATAACTTTTATTTCCTGCGATATCCAGCAATACGATATAAATCGCAACCATCATAAGCAGTACTTTCCTCCTAAATAAGTTATCAAAACAAAGACTGAGATGAAACCTTACTTTGGTGATGACTCGCTCCAAGAATACAGGGACTGATAAGTCAGACGGTTGCTGAATAATAGTGGACGGGCAGAGGGACTAGCCGAATCGATAACTTAAACCTTTCCACTCCCAGAAGTGATTAAAATGAAACTGCTATCTTGATCTAGCACCAAGTTCTTATAACTAATTATTCTGGCCGGAAATGGCCAGAATAACTAGGATGACTGGCAGTTTTCCACTGGCGTAAAGCAACGAGATTGAGTTTTGGTTTCGAATGTATTCAGGTTTGAAGTGCTGGGCCGCGCATAACGATAACCAAGCTTGTTACAGTTTACACTTACCTTGCGAGAAAACTTAATGAAAAGCAATAACCGTGGGAACAGTTAAAGTTTAATGGCTGATTGATTTGATTCGATTCATTAATTCAATTATCTTATGCAAACATTGGCGATAGGCTTGATCAGTAGATTTCTTTAGCGGACGAAAAAACCATACTTTTCTGACAAAAGAAATTGTGAAAGTCACTGCCACATAGCTAAAAAACTTAAAAGTTTCCATCTGGAATCCAATGCTGCTCACAAATGTAATGCCTAATTTTAAGGTATAGCGCCTTAGGAGAAAGAATCCACAAGCAGTCATGCGCAAAAATACCAGCTAAAAATATATATTACATTCTTCAATCTACTTCTTTCTCGGCGATACCGTGATGACTGCTTAAGATACTTGTTAATTTTTAGACGTGATTTTTGACTATCACCATGCTGATACAATTTGGATATTTTGATCACGATCCCGCTTACTTAATGCAGTTAGTACTATTGTGCCATTTCTAAATATTTCTCCCCGAACATAAAGAGAAAGAAAAGTAACATCACAAGATAAATGTGTATTCTGGGGATCATAATTTTCCAACAATTGGAGAAAACTTGGCCCTGGTTAAACCAAAAAGGAATGAATAATATTAAATCAACATGAAGATAATAACAAACAGCTATTGTCGACGATGACGTCTTTGAAACCCACAAGTTTACCATCTCCTCAAACGATCGCCGATCTAATCGCAATGATATATGAAATGTTGGGTTTATCGATCTGTCTCTGACAATCCCACAATACTAAGCTGATCTAAAATTTTGAAATTTTTCCGCAAGTTATCAGTTGGCTCGTGTTCCCTAGATTTCACTGCCAGAAGGATTATTTGAGACTGAATATTCGAGACGGTCAATCAAAGGACGTCCCTTAAGGATTAACCAAAGATACATACCCCTGTCTGTCACAGCAAGACGGCCTCAAAAATCACCGGTACCGATTTTTTTTATCTAAATCTGATTTTAGGACTTAACCCCGCTAAGCTGTGGAGAAATTTGAAGACAAACTTTATTCCCACGGTCATGACGACT